GACAGCCTAAAATAATGTTGACATTTGCACATTTCACAATAATAATACAGTAGATATGTCTGTATCATGTCTCCAGACTTATTTAATGTCCCATGTTGCATGGGAATTAAAATTAGGTGCAATGATGTGAGCGTGATAAGGGGTGCAGTGGCACGCTAAAGTTGAGGGAGAAGACAGCGATTGGGGCCCAAGTTGCGTAGACGGGGGGTGGAGGGGGTCCTTAAGGGGCTTGCCCCAGTTTTTCAAAATCTGGGGGGTTTCTTCTCCCAACCAGTGTTCTGTAGGCTTGTGGTCGTTCTTAGAACCACGGCACCGCCTCTGTTTTCGTGATCGGAAACTCAGTGCGATATTACGTACCCCACAATATGAACACGTAGCAAAAAGGTTTTGCAATATAGTATTTGGTTAGCCCTATATATACATATTTAAATGTAACATTTTGTTATCAATTCATCGTTTTTCGTGTGTGTGTTGTTTGTAAAACGTCGGCCAATGAAGACAAGTGTACAGTACACGGAGAAGCGTGTGGTTCCTGAGCCACGTCACTAGGTCTCAAACGATGACATTCAGGGTGTTAAGTTGACTGCCTTTAAACAATTACATATTTTTGAGTATTAGTTTAAAAAAATCATACTACATGGAGACGACTCTACAAACCAGCAAAGTTGATTTCCAAAGTCTATATTTACAAAGAGATGTAAACATAGAAAAATATGGTGTTTTATAAAGTGTCTTTGTGAGCAGCAACAGCCCTACTGTGGCCTTCTCCCCGTCCCTTGCCCTGAGCTGGCTGCAGGCAGCGGCCTCCCACAAACCGCTGCTGCTCCCCTTCCAACGCAGGCTGCCCACGTTCACAGCATGCTGCCCCTGCTTCCCTCTATCCACACCGAGATTGACTATTTTGAGACCTGTTTCGACGTGTACTGTCTCTCATTACAGCTCAGACCATTGTTACAGCTCAGCCCATTGTTACCGCACGCCGGCAAATTGATGCTCAGTGTAACAAATCACTTTACCAATACTTGACAATTTTACTGCAATTGTAGAAAAGCTTGACTGTATGCAGTTTCAGATTCTTATACATTGATTGTGCACTGATTGAGTTCTCAAGACTGATTACGATGTGAAGATTGACTATTTTGAGATTTTTTGCGATTGTAAATGCCAATAATATTTAACTACCCCAAATTCCAGGATACGAGACGTTTACCTACAAGGCTAGCGAGTCAACAAGCGCCGCTAACGTGAGCAGTCTTCTGTGCACTCGCAGACCAAAATAGTCAATCTCTTGTCCCGCTGTACCTACTACATGCTTCTGTCTGTTTAATCACAACATGTGCATGACAATAAATTTTATTTGTTTAAATCACAACACAAGCGCTCTTTCCTCTTTATGATAATCACGTGTGTTTACTTGAAAGGCTTGTGATTCAATATTTAATGTAAAACTCGAAGTGAAACGGTGCCTCCAATCTCAAACAAGCATTAGGGCAGCACTCATCTCTGGGCATTGCCATGATCCAGTGATGGAAACTCCACATTTTCATGGTGGGGGCCAGCCTATCCATAGGTTGACCACTGTTGGCTTGCCACGACATGGTACTCATTGGGCTTGTACTGACTCAAAACCAACATTTTAACAACCTTGGATTGAGTTAAGCACTCCTACAAAAATGCCATACACCCATGTAATTCAAAGCTATAACAGAATATATAGAAATGTGCTTTGAGGGTGCATGCTTTAAAAGGACGATATCTCATTATAAATTGTAACAACAATAATACACAGCTGTTTGTTAACCCACATTTTGGATGAAGGCCTTCCCATGCCGTGTCGGTTCTCTGGGTTGTTTGACGATACTTCGCCAAGTTGGTCAGTGTAGTTTGGAAAAGGAGGGACGAGGAAGAGTTTAGATACCACTCAACAATGATTTTGGCCATGGCTGGAAATCAAACTCGGATCACTGTTCAAAGAGCGATTTGCTAACCACTGCCCCACTACTCCCCCAAATTATAATCGCAATACCCAATATTGAATCCAAGCCTCTGCTGGAATCCTTCAAACTTATTTTCAAAGTGTGGTTTGCATCCTTACAGTAGGTATTTGTCCTCCTCGCATACACAATCAGTGCTGGAGCTTTGTAATGTAGTGAAATCATACCTTATGCTACATGTTGCAATATGTATGATATGCAATCGTCTTTTCATACAACACACTCATCCGCAATGTTCCACATAATCTCAAAAATCATCATCATTTTATAAGTGCATCCAAATTCATCGTTCATTTTCTTCATCGAGTTGAACCTAAACTCAGCTTTATCATCTTTACTTGAATTTAAAAATCCCTTTGATTTGCTTTTATACAATGCTTGATTTTAAAGATAAAGTACAAGGGGAAATCCCCTATCTAAAAATATTTGCAAGATTAAAGACCTTACTGAAGCTGCAGGCCATAGACAATGTACGTAAACAATTTACGGGCATGGAATGTATTCAGAGCCAGTGGTAGAAATGTATTCAGAAGCAAAATATAAATATATTCAGAAGATTAGATGTAGGCGATGCGTACTGAAGCAGTCCTTATTATGCCACAATCCATCTCACTCCTGCCAATAGCCTTATTCCATCACTCCATCTCCACGTCGGTCGTCCTCTTGGATGCATTCTCTCTCCTCAATGTGCAGCATGAGCACTCCGCGGCATGCGGTGCTTGGCAGGAGAGGTCACAGCAGCCGCGTGATGATGATTATCGTCATTTGTTGACATTCGTCATCAACTTCATCATCATAAACCCACCATCATCCTCAATCCAACACCATCATCATCCTGTGCCTCTTGCCCACAGACAATTGCGGATGATAGGAGGAAATGACCTGTGGATAATATGAGTTTTCCTAAAACGATCCTGGCCATGGATAACGGGAGTCATGTATTATCGGAGCGTAGATAAAAGGATCTCGACTGTGCATGTAGTGAAACAAAGCATTGCAGGCTAACACAGCATGCACGTGCGCGGGTGATGTGGCCAGCAACGTGCCTAGTCACCTTGGCCTTTCCAGTTCCAATTTTAACACACCTCACCAGGAACTAATTTAAGGCTGAGTCGATCTAGGGGATGCCCAGAACTCACTACTCCCCACCACACGCACCCTCACGCGCTGCTCGGATTGCAGAAGTTTTCAGTGTACAAGTTGGGACCAAGCGTGATGGTTGAGGAGGACGTGTCCTCGAGCAAAATGAGTAAGGACAAGACAAGGATATTTAGATTTAAAGCTTTCGTGACTGCAAGGATTAATCTTCTTGGTTCTTTCGCTTGTGTTGTGGCCGAAACGTCGTGAGAATGTTGTTGTCTTGTTTTGTTGTTTTGTTCTTATTCTGCGTGACTTTACCGAAAGAACTAAGAAGACAGGTATAGTGAGACTTTGTTGATTCCCTACCTACTTAAGCAGAGCAGGTACTGAAGACAACACTAGTTACATGTATATCCAGTTCCGATAGAAAAATGTAATTACATTAATATTGATATCGCCATGAAGTTAATGACCTTCCTTATTATGCGTGTTCACCTAGGAGGGCCTCACTGAGTCACAATAACCGTGTTCGAGTCGGGCGCAGTGCTGCTGTGTGTCATCCCAACTGAGTCATTTGCAGGAGTATTTTTCAGCATTGGGAAGTTTGGCCAATACCAGCAGCACTGTGTGTTTTATAAGCTACGGGGGGAACCGGAGAACCCAGATAAAACCCATACAGTATATGGACACCCTTCTTGCTGCGAGTGCCACGTGTTATCAGATTTAGATTGTAAGTATAGCACAGGAGACCTGAAGACGATGTTTTACAAGGATGCTGATCGCAAACCGAGCTGTTGCACAAGAACGGGTGAGGTTATGAAGCAAACGAGATTGATGTGCACACTCTCAAACATCACAGTCCTGTACAAGATTCCTGAAGTGTGACAACAATGGCAGATAAGCGATAGGAATTGTTGCTGGTGGCTCTGTTACGCCTCGCAAGGTGAATACAACCCCTGCAGAATGCAGTGTGGAGGGTGGTGAACAGCTGTGGGTGGGACCGGGGCAGAAGTGCTTGGTCAAGCAGCAATAAGTTAAAACGGTTTGAAACCGAGTTACGGTGTCTGTAAACTAGGGATAGAATACTATTAAGGAATAGCAGGAAATGAAACAGGATAAATCTAAACATAAGTTAATAAGAGGGAGACTGGGTCAGGATATATTCGATCTTGCAAAATAGAGGAAATGCAAGATGCAAACAAAGGTGAGTGCATTTCCACACGCACGTTAATAACGTTTATAATCCAGTACTCATAAATCCGTACTAATGTTACATTGTATTGCTAGGGTTCATCAACAGTCTTCCAGAGTGTCATCATCTCTCATGATCTTGCGATGCAATTATCCATCTCACTCTCTGCACATGAGCTGATTCTATGGCTCCATTTCTGCGGTGATCAATCCGTTGGTCATGGTCAGTCCTTTGGCTGCCAGTCTCAAGCACCGGCCATAATCCATGCAAGCATTACGTTCTACCGAAGTCTTCTTACTTTTATCAACAGTCGATACGGTGTCTTTAACTTCCATACGTTCTCTATTCTTCATGCAGCTCCCTGATTCTCTGGACTTTTCTGCTTTTGTTCTATTGTTAAGTCATTTTCTATCTTTCTGATCCACATTTCATGATCATCTCCCATCTTGTGACCCCTAATATTGGTATTATGTTGATATTTACCATAACACAAGTGCATTGGCTGTTATTATTATGGGGGCCTGTTTAAAATGCTTGACATTTCATTACGACCACCGCCCTCCTTAGGAAGTATCTGGATCTCCCTCTGGTATAAAAATAAATATTGCAATTTAAAACCCACGTGTGCTCATTATTAAATGAGCTGTGTTAAATGTATGAGCACAGGAATGAGAAAGACGGATGTGTGAGTTTATGTCCGAGTCATTCGTCCCCACCGTGTGTGCTGCCTGTAGACAGAAGAAGTCTGGAGACGTGGACTCGGTGTACAGCGGCGTGCCGCCAGGCGTGAGCTCCAACTTCTCCCCAACAAACTCACGAAAGAGGTGCGCCTCAGCATTGAGACGTTTGTCTTGCATACAGTATCCATGAACGAAAACCACATATTGCACAATCAGAAATGCATAACTGTGCCTAACTGCATACAAGCACTGGAGAAAAAGGTAATCGTGGAGACGAAACGTGCTTCCCCATGTAACCAAAGTAATTGAGCCAACAGGGCCTGGAAAGATGTTAGGGGCCTCATTTGTCAAACCCAGTGCCTTCTACCCCCCCCCCCCCACCGTCATGCCTGATGGTGTTGGCCTTGGTTGTGGTGGTGATTTTGTGATGAGAGTGGTGGTGGTGATGGTTACATGATTTTGTGATGACACTGGTGGTGGTGATGGTTACATGATTTTGTGATGACAGTGGTGGTGATGGTTACATGATTTTGTGATGAGAGTGGTGGTGGTGATGGTTATATGATTTTGTGATGACAGTGGTGGTGATGGTTACATGATTTTGTGATGACACTGGTGGTGGTGATGGTTACATGATTTTGTGATGAGAGTGGTGGTGGTGATGGTTATATGATTTTGTGATGACAGTGGTGGTGATGATTACATGATTTTGTGATGACAGTGGTGGTGATGGTTACATGATTTTGTGATGACAGTGGTGGTGGTGGTGATGGTTACATGAAGGTGATAATGGAAGTAATGCTTGTCAGGGAGCGGTAGTGTCACAGTTAGCGCTACGCTGCGCTATGAACTTGGTGACCCGAGTTCGATTCCTGCTCACAGCCAACACCAGTGACCATTGTCTGAACCAATCCTGGGTCTCCCCTAGGTCGGCTCAGCCTCAAATGAGTACCTGGTGCGGTGTGTAAACATCGCCACTAGGGAGACAAAGGCGGCTGGGCGTGGTGCTGGCCACCCACCCCCTCGTGTGCCGTGCCAACTACATAGGTGCTCGCTAACAGCACTTACCCCAACAGTCTGTTCAGGCTATATGGGGGATCTTTGTCTTTGGTATTGGTGATAATGGTGATTTCAGTGATGATTCTGGTTCTGTAAATTGCTGCCAATGGTTGATGATATTGTGATTGCACGGCAACAATGTTACAGTTTAGGGTAGCCAGTTTGTTTCACTTGCATTTTAATGGAATGAGTTCAAGTTGAATGTCACCAACATCTAGTTGGGAGGCAGGGATATTTATTAATGGGTCAATTTTGAGCAAGAGTGGGGCCATCACTGCACCTTTTTAATCCCTTGGATATCAGGATACATTTTCTTAAGAATAGATTCAACTTTTCAATTTAAAGCTTTCGTGACTGCAAGGATTCATCTTCTTTGGTTCTTTCGGTAAAGTCACGTAGAATGAGAATAAAATAATAAATTGATAAAATAAAATAACACAATAAAAATTCTCACGACGTTTCGGCCACAACACAAGCGGCCTTCATCAGGTGAAGGGACGAGACTGTCTGGAGGACAGCGCTGGAGCGAACACAGCCAAGCTCAGACCGCGACCTTTAAGCTGTGCGGGAAGAAACAGAGCGCCTTGACAAAGGAATTAGCATAGAATTTAGCATTGAAATAGCTGAGTGATTAGCTTGTGACTGGTCACAGAAATGGCTATGTTAAAGTCAAAGCACACACATACTAGGTGCCTCTGTGGATGTGTATGCTTTGACTTTAACATAGCCATTTCTGTGACCAGTCACAAGCTAATCACTCAGCTATTTCATTGCTAAACTCTATGCTAATTCCTTTGTCAAGGTGCTCTGTTTCTTCTTACACAGCTTAAAGGTCGCGGTCTGAGCTTGGCTGTGTTCGCTCCAGCGCTGTCCTCCAGACAGTCTCGTCCCTTCACCTGATGAAGGCCGCTTGTGTTGTGGCCGAAACGTCGTGAGAATTTTTATTGTGTTATTTTATTTTATCAACTTATTATTTTATTCTCATTCTACGTGACTTTACCGAAAGAACCAAAGAAAATAGATTCAACATTTGACATGCACTATATTCATCCTAGGAGATCATTTGAAAGCCAGCCAACGGCTTTATCACTTTAGTTAAGCTCTTTCAATGTTTTTTCCACGTCAATATGATACATTTTATTATCCAAAGACTGTTTAATCGTGACCATTATGCCATTAAGACCTCACATAAATATTTAAGCTTAAAATAAATGCTATTTAAACATTGTTTTTACAAATTTGCCAGTACTTTTCACATGTAGACTGTGTATAGATGGAATAGTAAGTTGTGTTATTTACGTCTCCGCATTTATGTAGGGTACGCGCATAAGGCCATTTCCAGTTATTACGTCCTCTATTTGATTTATTGACTTGTTAAAGCCGAATGGAGTTCATAACAAGTCACAGACACCTCCTGAAAGACCCGATGGAGAAGATCCCTGGCTTTGATTGTCCGTGAAGCTGTTGGGCCACAGCCCTAAACCGCATCCACACAAACCATGGCAGCAGATGCAGATACTTGATGCACCCATGGGAAATTAAACATTCTTGACTGTGTGACTGTGCTCACCCAGAAAACTAACATGGGACATGTAATGCCTCAATGTACAATTCACTAACACGAAGGAGGCAAAATCATAGTGATACACTCTGCTACTCCTGAAACAATTATCTAGCTAAATGACCTCATTCTAAACCTATTGCTTGGCATCAACATCAGCCATACGCAGAAGACTGGCAAAACATATCTTTCTTAGAGTGTCATTTTCATCACTTATGGAAATATTTCGATGGGCCTAGCTGATTTGTAGGGGTCTATGGAGGTCAGGATTCTCTCGACTGCTCATAAAGGGAAAGATCTGAAAAAGGAGCACACGAGGTACCAAATGATTCATGTGTGGGCACAGGGTGAGGCCACTATGGCAAAAGACATTCCCCACTTTTGGACAACCTGGAAAATGTCTTCATCACCCACGACTCGATTCCTTTCACCACAAAGCTGCCCGAATGAGATAGTCAGACCCAACTTTTTGTATCATTGTTTGAATTGTCCGTTACCTTTCCAAAGTAATGTATGTTTCTGTGTTGAACTTATTTTGCACCGTACATATCCAACCGTGCGTAGCCAACCGTGCTGATTTGGGTGTCCATGTCTAAACGAGCACTTGGCAGCGCTCTTCTCTATGGAGACATTTGATTTAGTCCTCATGAAGGGAACCAATGAAAATGAAGGCCTTCTCTTTGAGAAGACAGATCTGTCGTGTATAAATTTAGTACTTGTTAAAATATAATTTGTGAAATAAAAAAATCTATATTTTACACCGAGTAATAATTCTAGCAAGAATAAAAGTATTCCTCTTCTTCAAAAGAGGTAGTTATATGAAATGTAATGCTTTGCATTCGTAGTTAATTTTTGGATTAGGCCACACAGTAATATAGGCGGCAAAAAACTGCGTTCACTTTCATGTTTTTGTTTGCTTTGCACAACAATGTATAAGGCACATACAAGACATTTCCTGAATAGCACTGGTGATGAATTCTATTTTTTCACTTAAGTGTTGACCTTTTTTGCAGCTGTCAGAAACAAATGATGACAAGGTCAAATGAAACTGACAATGGAGTAATCTTACATCGCTTTGTGCTGAGAAAAGTGCTTCTGAATCATCCACATGTATTTTAAATTGTGGCGCCTAGCTCTCTGGTTCAGTACACAAGAATTTGAAGCTTAATTCCAAGACCCTTGTCTCACTGTCCTCTTGGTCCCACTCGGTCTAAGCCCCCGCTGTCGCACGCTAACCCACTCTTGCTTGCTTGGGGGCCAAGAGAGGAGAGTGGCGATGGGATGACAGATTGATCAGTGTTTCACTCTGGACACAGCTGCAAACATCTTTTTCACGATTTTTTGCACTCTGTACAAATTTCCCCACTTATTGTTACACGATACTTCGTGTTGACAATAATCACGCCCCTTGCATCTACATAAGGCAATTAATTAAATGCCTCATCAACAAAAGACGCCTTCCACCACATTTCATTCTCAACCATTCGAGGGGCACCGCTTGGTGCCGAGTCACCTTGTGCTGCACACGTGCACGAGTCTGGCAGTCAGGAGAAACGATTGCTGTGTGTCATCCCAGTTGAGTAATATGATTCATCTGTGAGTCACAATTCATTTATAGATATAAACCAGATTAAACATTTATATATTTTTCATTATTCAATGAACAAGACAGTATATATTCAATATCTGTATTCTACGACAGCTTTTCGAGATTGCATCTGCGGAGGTAGAGAGGCTGAAAACTCTATCACAAATTTTGAGTATTTGGTTATTGTATCGCACATTTTAATGTTTTGAGTGCGTTCTCCTGGGCATTGTGATGGCTGTAGTCGCAGTGTTTTGCGCGTTTTTTTGTGCAGATCCAATGGCATCTCGCACTCGTGGAGCGAGCGCATCCCCGAGGAGAAGCAGACGCCTGACGTGTGTGAGAACGGACGGCCACGTAGCAACTCCTGGCAGGGTACGTCCGCTGCACGGTCACGGAGTGATGGCGCACGCTGCCAACGAGTGGAAACGATGGTGGAGGCTACTGTTGTAGACCAGAGGTCATTTTAAGAAGGGATCTCGGAGGTAGCTCTGTGGTATCCACTTCCACGGACCATTCCTCACCACGAAGGGTCGCACCGCTCTGCGAGAGATCCGAATGGATTGAATTTAAGAAAAAGACAAAAAGCAAAGTGTTTCTATTTTAACCAAACATATTGAATGATGCTTTAACAGGGTGACTTTCTGGCCTTGTAAAATATTATTAATTATAATAAACCTTTTGTATTGATCTGCTGCATTACCAAAGGTGCATTGCACTGTTTGCGTGCATTGTGTTTGCTCTCTGGAAGACTGCAGCATCCAGCCACTGCTTGCATTTGTCCTTGCTGTGTGTGTGTCGAGGCATCGCCTTTTCATTGCAACCATTTGTGACTCATGAATGATCAACTTCATCTCTCTACCTTTCACGCCTTTTTTCTTCATGACGCCTTCTTCAATATTTGGTGAGTTGAGCTTTCGTGCATTATTGTTCCTGATCGTTTGTCAAAGTAAAAAAATATCCCATTACGTCTGCTTTTAGTTAATCCCTTTACATTTATGAATCATTCATATTCGTCAATCATATTTCGTACAATCAAAAACTAGTATTGTTTTGCTTCTGATATGAATTTCATAATAAATTAGTCAGTGGCACTGGTATTTGAAAATATTAAGCCGAGCTGTTGTCGACTATGAAAGGTATTTGACAGCTGCAAAGCTGTCAAAAGATTGTCCAATCCTTGGAGCCACCCAAGATCACAAACTCTCATTCTCCACTCACATGTCTCAACTCTACAGGAGCTCATACCTCCACACGCAGCATCTCCCACATCCACGACTTCCTTACCCTATCTGCTGTTGAGACTCGTATCCATCAAATAATGTTTCAGCTACTTAAACTCTCTCCTAAGGCATCTCCAAATCCTCACCTTAAAAGTCTCCAAAATGCCATCGCCAGACTTCTTGCTAACTTAAAAAAATCAGGCCACATCAGTATTAAGATCATTCCATTGACTCCCATACCAATCCCGTATTAACAACAAGATTGCCCTCACTGTCTTCAGGATCCTCCGCAGATTCCCCCCTTTCTACCACTCCAGCAACAAGGCGTTGTGTCAAACTCTATCAGTATTTTATTGATGGGAGGTCGCTCTTTGTCTGCTGCAGCAGCTGCTGCCTGTTGATTATACGTTGTGAAATTTCCTTACTCTGACCATCGGCACTGCTTCAGAAATTCCCCTGTTGAGGTCTAGCTCATGGCTTTCCGCTTCTTTTTCGCTTGACTGCCCATCTGATCAAAGTATCTTCATTACGTGTTTTCCCCGGCCTACTGTCTCATTTCTCTTTCTGGTCGCTATAAATTTACCCATCATTCACTGCGACAAGCACCCTCTTCAAACTCTATTTGTATGGAGTCAGGTGATGCAGTCAGATTTAGATGCTTTTTAAGTACAAATAAATTTAATCTCAATTTAATTATCAACATTACAGTATTGTCCAGATCCCTGTCACACGAAATCTTATACTGATATTTCATGAATTTAAACAGCTTAGCAACAGTAATTGTAAATATTCATAGATTTAGTCCAGTTGGTGATGGCTTTTCAAATTAATTTACAGTATTTTAATTTGGAATGAGAGCAAATTTGTTTATTAAGCTATATTTCGGAGGAAAACATAATTTGCAAGACACAAAGTAACACAATCATTTGTGAGTATAATGTTAAGAATATTATGTTTTGCCATATCCTTCTCCTAAGTTGTTTGCAGATCAGAGGGTTTGCTCTGTTAACTACTTTATTAAATCCACTTTTGAAATTTTCAACTAATGCTGTTGGCTATTTAGTTATTTTGAATGTAACTGCATGCGAGAGATTGGCGGACACAAAGGCATCGGTATTGTTGTTAACGATGTCAACGGTGTAAATGATGTTGTTAAGAAGTGAACGTGGGCCCCGAGGAGCTGGTGCGGTAAGATCCGATCATGTGCAGGTGTTGGGTGCATCGCAGCATCGTGAGATGTGGTGGCGAAGGCTAGGGGGAGGCCTTCATCCACCTGGAGAATAATCACCGCTGATTATTATTCTGATGATAATGATGATAATTAAATAATTTACTTTTTCAGGATCGGTATCAATATGTCGGAAAAAAGGCAAAAGCAAGTTCCGCCCACGCTCCAACTCCACTGAGTGAGTCGCTCCATCTCCGCGTCGCACCGGCAAGAACACATTTCGAAATCCACGGCGTGTGTGTGAAAGGAGCCTATGCCGTTGCAGAAGTAGTCTTTGTCAAATAATTAAAATGTAATTGGGGGAAGTGTGGAAAATTAACCATTATCAATTAAAATATACCAAATATGTAAAAACTAATTCCTAAAATGTCCCAAATTCCAAATGCTAGAGTGCACAGAAGGGACTCGTCATTCGCTTGACAATGATACAAGGGAAAGATGTGAAAAAAACATATGCTTTGCATTTACTTTCCTTATTTATAGCATGAAAATAAGTAGGTATTGACTTACATTCATACGTGTGAATGTACTTTCGCTGTATGCACACATGATAGTATTGACCAGTAAGCAGGTATTGCCCGCTATAAGCTTTGGCCGAGCACTCCACGCAAGGCAAATTTGTTCACCAATGATGAAAGTTCATTTTGTGTATATAAATATAAACAGTCTCAATTGTATTGGTGCCAAATTTTATCTTTCTTGCCTTTCTAGCTCATGATTGCAATTAACGCAATTCACTCTGTCGTAATCGTCTAAATAAACATAAAGTGCAGTGCATCATTTACTTTATTTGTATACATTGACATTTAAAATAAGTTAGCATTTACATGTTTCAAGACCTGTAAGTGACCAATACTATTTGGCATCAGCAAGCAGCCTTGATTAGGCCACACACAAGCTTTTCCTGGACAGGGCAAGACTGATCAAGTAAAGTCTATTCCTGATACACTTTACAATGGCGGGGACTTCAGGGGTTTCTCCCGAGGGAAGAGGGGGAGTGCACGTACAGGGGTGAAACACGAGGACCTAGGGGTTCCTGCCCACAGGTGGATTGTAAGGGCCGTCTCTGTCTGCTAGAGAAGGGGGGGCATCATAGTGATGCCAGTATTGTGACTGTGAAAAATCCTCTGCTGTTGGGAGTGCTGCTCTACATTTCACTCGCAACTCCTGCTTTTATTTTAGGAATGGGGTTTTCGCCACATGTATAGGTGTACAACAGTAAAATAATGCAGTGCTTATGTACATCTCGATCTGCTAGATAGAGATGTAAGCACATAGTTCTTCGCTCCACATGTTCAATTACTCTGCTTCACTTTTTCGAGGTCTCCTCTAAGTCCTTCACTCTCTTGCGCTTCACCTCCCCGTCTCAAACCCTTCTCGTGTCCCCTCCGCTGGGCCCACCTTCCAGTACATTCCTGGACCAACTATCTCATCGCGTCCCACCTCATTCCTCTGTCCTCACTTTAAATCCATCCAGGATATCGTTGGTTACAGCTTTCTGATGGATTGTGGAGTCCGGTGCTTGGGGGATTGTCCACGGCTGCTCTACCCCCCTTGCCTGCCACCTTCCCCGGCTCTGCCCACACTATGACTCTGCCTCTACCCCCCTTTCTGACACCTTCCACCGTACCCAAGCATGACAAATTATAGGTTTTACCCTTCCTGGCAATAAAACAGGTGTTAAGATGCTCAAATACCAAATAGAAACCCTTTGCAAGGAATCCAGTTTGCATTAACCACACGTCTTGGCACAGCAGAGGTTATATCGGAGGCCTATACGTGTACCGAGAGTTATTTTATTGCTCAACGCAATTTCCTCCTTCAAATATAGATTGCAATTTGGAGAAAAAAAACACGAAATTCCCCCTACTATCGGGTGAAGAGCTGTGAAATTCGTGGTATCAAGTATGACCCAACAATAAATATTATCCCAGCCCTTTCTCCCTCCCACTTGTTTCCATCGCATGTCCCGTTGCAGCTCTACGTCTGTGGAATGTCAGTGACATTTGACTCAATTTAGCACGTAGGCTTTCGCGAAGAATATTATTCAAGATAACGTTTTTTCAGTAACATCGCATACATGTGTAGATTGCATTCATGAGATCGTATAAATGCGATATACCCAAAAAACGTTGTCATGGATGTAATTTAACTCTCCGAGTTACTCATCCCTCATTTACCTCCCTCTCTCACCTCAGTTCCCAGAACCCATTTCTGCTTCCTTGATTCCTTCTTTCTCCACTTCCCACCAATGCTTGCATAATGGGAAGTCATTTCTACCTTTAGCTACTACAGCTTGAAGCAGTTTTCCTCGAGTGGACAGTGTTTGTGACTTCATTCTGCTGGTTTACTCTAAACGTTATGATCTTTTACGAGAATGACCTCGCTCAAATGTGACTGCTGCTCAGAGCTACACATCGTGAGCTCGTGTCTACGGCGAGCGGTGCCCCAGGGCACGAGGGGAGTTCACACTCCCTGCGCTCTGAAGCCAGTTGCTGGATTTATAGCTTAGACACCAATTTATAGTCGCTGCTCAATTCATAAAAAGTTAGCACTGTGCATTATTGTCGGTATATTTCTTATTTCCTCCTCTGTAAATTTGCCCAAATCTGGTCTTTAAAGTGTCGTCTATCTCTGAAGGTACCATGAAAATCCTGCAACAATTCCAGTTCAGTCTTTTTATGCTACTCGTACATGAACTAAAATGTGGATACTTTTAATCGTGAGAAGAATGAGTTACTTTGAATAAATTAATGGGAATGTATATACGAATCTAATTGTTCACATGTATCGTGAGTATGAGAATCTATATTAATTTATGCGTACATGCTTACCATTTACACCATCACTAGGCATCGCATCTCGGTTTGTATGTTTAATTATTTGTATTGGCTTTAAAATTAAAACTTCATTCACAAATGTTTTGCATGGAGTTTCAAATATGACTATAATTTCTCTCAGATGTATAAATTTTTAAAAAAATACAAACCCTTGCATTCTAAGCTATGACTTGTCTCTTCTTTGCACTGTCCAAAATTAATTAGGAAAATCTGGTCAAAGATTGTTTCAAGTATTGTGCGACACTAGCTATATGGGCATTCGCTTCATCTGTCGGTATCTAAAAAGTAAACGTAGCTCTTGTCCTGAGCGGAAACGCGGCAAGCGGTGCACCTTTTTGAACCACGCTTCAAAGACTCGAAAAGATGTAGACCATGACAGGGCCACAAAGCCGCTTCTCGAGTGGAATAGAGTACCAAAAATATATTGTTTTCTTGAAGCTCATATTAAATCACTAATGATTGTCGAATGCATGTCCATCGTGTTAACGTATTGAGTTTACTTCCATCTTAGTGCATTATAATTAGCAGTAATCGGATTGTGTAGTGGAATGTGACCTACCCTGTTTGTTTTCCATTTAAAGAGGCGCCACTGGTTGAACAATGAACCAACTGGACCATAAACTGTACATTTGTTGCTCTGAGAGTTCTTGTCTTTAGTCTGTATTGATTCCCCCTTCTTGTGTTATGCTCTGCACATCGTTGTGTGTTGTAATGGCCGAGTGAGTATGATGGTAACGTCCGTGAGGATTGCGACTTTTGTGTTGACTGTGTGAAGTTTTCCTTGCCCCTTTGTTGTGTAACCTCAGCTCCTCTGCTCTCTCCTGTGTTTCGTTGCCCTTCTCTGGACCATCATTGATTTTTCAGGTATTTAAACCCCTGGTTTAAAAGAGAGTACAATGTAGCTAAGTGGATAGAAGATGTGAATAAAAATACTCAACCACAATATATACGGTACTGCCCACCTCTCACGGCCATTGTCCATTTGCTGTGCAGTGACCTCTCCCCGCTGTCTACGAGTAATTTGTGCAATTTCGGTGGTGCTGTGCTGTCATGCAGCGCTCACTGGCTACGTGGTATCGCTACCCACATGCCTGAAGGATTTCATTAGCCAGCATTAGTAAGCTGGCTAAGATTTTGTGTTTCAGATAAAAGTATTGGCAATATCGATGGTTAAAAGGCAGAAAAAATCATCTGTGCAATGTGAACCCTTAAAAATTGTCTGTTATCCATCATTATTACAACTCATTACAATTAAACTTATGAGAACACAATGTTTAGCATGTACACTTTGTTTGGGGTCTGATCATCCTGTATATTGCTTGGATTCATTTGTATGTTTATATCCTCATACATAAGCTGCCAATTCTGATGATCATTCCCCTCGCCGTTGTGTTAAGCTGTAAGGTGCATTGCCATTACTTATGATTGTTTGAGCACGAGTTCGAGTGTATCTTGTTTATAACCAGGCGGTGAGAATTAAGAGCCGGATAGCCACATTTGTAAGAGTGAGCCAGGTCCACAAAAGTATCAAACAACTCAAAAAAGTGCAACAGAAATACAAATAGAAGCGCCATGACAGGACGAACTGCAAATATTGCAGAATCATAAAACAACGTTAAATCTGAGATATGAGTAAAAAATTACATTCCCTGCATGTCCAAACTGATCACAGCACACATTAAAACAAATAGATACATAAACACAAAACGTCCACACGTGGTTGACTATAATAATTAACTTGACTGTCGTTCTGACATGTAAACAAAAACAAGGCAAACGCAGTTCGCCAGACTCTTAATTGTTCACATGAGCTGCTGCATTTGGCGTGCGATGGGAATCCGTGCCCAGCTGTCCACCCTCACCACCGCAACACTATAACACTGCCACCACAGCTCATCCGCTCTGCCCAGTCTCCGTTGGCTGGGACACTCGCATTACCTACACCACGAGTCTACTTAAGCCGTGTTATGAAATAAGCCGTGTTATGAAATAACACGGCTTAAGTATCTTGTAATTATAATAGGATCAGGCTAGCAATGCTCAGCGTCATCATCATCATGAGCCGTTGTCTCTCCACTGCTGAATGAAGGTCTCCCCACACCATCAATACTGTTACTACAGTATAGACAAAATAACAACTGGATAAAGATGTTCAGGTGTGGCCACGTGTCATGTGTATGTGTTTGTTCTTGGTACGTGGCCAGTGATTACTCTTGGGTGGCATTAAGAAGTAGGAGAAATTACTCAAATTATTGTTCAGTTCTTATTCGAATAGTTTTGAATAACCTGTTTGAATAAGTTTAATAATTTAGCATTTTCCAGAATATAATAGCAGTATTTTCTCTTTTATCGGTTATTGCTGTTGATTTTGACTGAGATCGAACTTAAAACCGATTATAACTGCACCACCACTTGTGGGGTAGAACATTGTGGAGTGAGTCGCTACAAATACAGCCATCTCAGCCTGGGTCGGCTCGCTTCTCAACAGGGACGAAGGCCCTCATCGACCCTTGAATAGTGTAATGCCTTCTATCGATCAATGATTATATTCTTGGACGTGTTTCAGGAGAGATGATTGTGAGAGGTTCCTCGCCACACAATGAGATGACGTCGTGAGTTCACGTTACATGTAATGACGTCATCCCCTTGGTTGACAAGGCGGATGCTTTAAGCTGTTTTTAATGTACACGTTATGGGCATCCTTTAGATCAATTTGACTGGTTTTCCATGGGGTAAATCCCGAATAGCAACGCACATCTCTAAAATAGTTATCCTGGATGTTTAAAGACATGTCAATACAGCTGCGTTGGTGTAATGTGCGAGGAAGAGGCAGTTTGTGCCATGTGTGGAGGGTGAAAGCGGCAGGTTCCCGAGGCGTACCTCGGTGTCGATGCCCAGCACTTTGGGGCATCGCGCACTGTTCCTTAACTCTGCCCTGGCAAGCAGAGGGCAGGCAGGCAATATCCATTGATGTAATCTACTATTTTCCCACACCGATGAACTGTGTGGAGAAGTATGGCCAAATAACCCTCAATACCCACACGCTGCAACTCTCCTCCAGCAGTGGCTTGATGGTGATGATGATTACTTTTAACCAAACCTGCAAACCTTGTTATGCACAAGCAATGGGGTAGCACCTGATGAGATGTTTATAATCTGAAACTCGAAAAACTGTTTTCACAAAAACATCAGATGGAATTACATTTATTTATCCAAGTTTATGTAATTTGTAATTAAACAACTTGCTTTGCCACCCCAGACATCTGTGTTTGGTTGCCAGGGATCAGGTTGTAATGAGATCTCCCGATAACGTGTTGAACTTTATTACAGTAAACTGCAGAGCTTTGATTGACCTCAGCTGACTGAGAAATGTCCGAGTTTGGTGTAAAAGGTGGCACAGACAACTCAGGGATCACCTCACCCATTCATGCTAACACACAACTGTGCACCAGTGTGATAGAGCGGTGCTTGATTAGAGTTGTCTCAAATACCAGGACAATTAAATAGAGGTCTCCATAGCACTGGACATTTTTGAACCTACATTCGAAAAAAATAATTTCGGCACAAAATTTGACGTTTTGAAGCCCTTGATATAAGCCATTTTGCACCAACGGTACAGTCTAAGGACAGTAAAATTGGAAAGGCCAGATGTGCCCCAGAGCTCAAACTCCCACCCTCCTTCCACTTTTAGCTCCCAGAGACCAAGAGCTAAATTGGCCGAGATGAATGTCCCTGTTCCAAAAGGTCCCTGAATGAGAGAATGAACTACCCACACAAAACGTATCACACCAAAGGAGACATGCAATATGCTCGCCGTGGTCCTGGGTTTTTGCTGATTCACAGGTCTGCCTCGCTGTTGGGCAAACATCCCTCAGCTCACTGAAGCAAACATTTCCATCCCTCATTAGTGAAGCATACAAATACCTTGGCTCACATAGCACCGTTGCTTTTAGACATTTTCAAAAGTACATTTTAAGCTATGTGGAAATAACACTGAAATGCAAACACATTTTATTTCCAGAATTTGATTTCACTGGATATAAATGTCTAATTATTCTTACCATATGACTGAATTAAGTAGAATATCAATTTTAACATTGATGTCCGGGATATTCATAGAGTTTATGGAATTTTCAGTAGCTGAGTGTATTTCAGCTATTCCTCCTTTGAGAGATCTAATCGGGCATTTAGTATGCGGATGAGTTGTTTGAAACGTCAACCACTGTCACAGTTGAGGATATACTCTAAGTGATCATGAGCATGGCGCATTCAATTAACAATGGACCCTGCAAATGTAACTTTTTTTCCCATGATGTAGCTTACATAAAAATGTAATGTTACAAAAATGTAATGTTACATTTTAATGTGTACATACATGCTTACTTTATATGGGTTTGTTTAATACTCATAGTTTACTAATACAAAATTGCTCGCGTGTCAATTCAAACCATGGTGAGCTCTCAAATCAAAGCAAATGAGCGTCGCACACCCACACTGTTACCCCGCAACCACCACACAGAGGGCTTTGCGACGAGACAGAAATCTACTTCAGCTTCGCCTCTCCTGCACGCGAGTGCTACACGGCCGTGGCTGCGTTATTTTAACGACAGCGTGCGCAGCTGCACGCAGTGATGATGGTCGCGTTTAGGGAAGTGCCCGTGGCGTGTGGGAGGGTGTGATGCGGGAGGGTGTGATGCGGGAGGGTGTGATGTGGGAGGGTGTGATGCAGGAGGTGTCGTGATGAATGTTGTACGATCTAGTCAGTTTTTTTTTGCTAGCATGTTGGTTTAGTCGTTCTACAACTGTACCTTTGCACGTGGTAGGAAACTGCAGTGCCAGGCGTGAGGGAGGCTCAATTTGTGCTTTGATGCCCTTGTAAGCTCGTCACTGCCTAGCAGGAGAACACATGCCTGCACAATCCACTAACTCTATCTGCTAGCCGAATAATTGTAATGAAAAAAAAACTCAATGCATTCGTCAATAACACTGTCTGAAGAAGTAAACATGGTAGACGACGTTTTGGGCAATGGCCCTTCTTCACAGCCCTTAGGAGGCCAGTCGCTGGCTGAGAGGCATGCAGCATACCACCCAGTCACAACGGCTGCAGACACCCGCCCGATGATGACGTCAGCTCTCGTTTGCAAGGGGGGGGGGGGTCAATCCGATAGCTTCTCAAACAGATGTCACCTGTTTTACATTGGTAGCTGTAGCATGAGTTTGATCATTGCACGTCCTGCCAATAATGTTACCGCGTGCTGCGTTCACATCAGTAATTGATAATGCATTATATGTAAAAGATCGATTACATCGTTACAAATACATATGTAAATGTGACAATATATACAGTATTAAATTATTACATTTTTGTCATGTGTACTGCCAGTGTTTTAAATATTGTATTTTGAAACGTAGAGGTAAATGTGCTTAATGTATTTTTATTGAATGCCTCTATACAATGTACGGTTATGCAATGTTCTGCTAAACAAGTGTTAAAGCAAAGTGTCTCTCGTGAGAGGGGTCACAGTCTACGTGCTAAAGACCAGAACCAGCACGTGGAGTGGCAAGGTGTGTTTTTAGCCAGAACGTGGTGTGCATTGCGTGCTGTGTGGCATGTGGTTGGTTGCAGGACCCTCTCTCCGACTAAGTCTCCTTCGTCCTCCACCGGCTCACTGGCTTCCCGCAGGGAGCCGTACCCCCTGCCGCCCCTTCCCGACGAGCTGCTGCACCCTCCCGAGAAGCCACTCAGCCCACGGGTCAGCCCACCCAGCAATCACACAGCCGTCGCTTACTCTCCGTATTATAATGATTCTTACTCCGCCTGCTTACCCAGCCTCGCTAAGACTCAAGACTCTTTTTCAAGAGGGTCCTGCCAAGTTTGTTGGAGTAGGGGGACAATGTTGCTGCTGTTTGTGATCCCAATTGAGTAATTAGCAGGTACATTTTCAGCATCGGGATGCATTGGCCAATACCAGTTACATCGTACGTTAGCTAATGGAGGAAATCTAAGAACCCGGAGAACCCCATACATGAGAACATAAAACTCCACACAGAGGTGCCCGAGTAGGGATTCGAACCGTTGAATTCTTGCTGTAAAACACGAGCATAATTACCACTGCGCCACTATGCCACCTATTGTGTGCCGCATGATCTTAAAGCTGCTTTTGTCTCTGTAGTTGTACGAAACGTCCATTTGAGGAGGCCGACCGGACCGTGGGGGCGAGGCTGCAGGCGGTGCCCTGTGGAGCTCCCCCCGCGCCCTTCCTCGCCTGGCCTTCTCCGAGCACCTCTTCCCTTTACATCAAAAAGTCCACAATCCTCTCCAAGTCATTTCAGAAACAGGCATGTGTTGTACCTGCTGACACTGTAACGCATTTGTTTCTATGGATTTTGTGATACCCACTAACATTGTGTAAAAAAGAAAAAAAAGTGTGAACTATTTCCATGTTGCACATCACTCAGTGTATGGTGTTTGGCTCGCTCTAGGGTACCAGCCCAGTATGCATGGAACGTTGGACAAACGTTGGCCCAGCGGTTCCAACCATATGCCAACGTTGGTTCTAATTTGCACATTCACTGGGAAGCAGCTTGGCTTTCTTTGCTCTCAGAGTATGCTGGCTTTGTCCCAGGCATGGTCTCTAATTTTAGTCATTGTTACATACTGTACATGTTACATACATGTAACACATACATGTTACATGTATATAGACTAATGCTACTGCGCTCACCCAACCAGCACAAGCTTAGTTTCATGTTTGAAACTACGTGCATAACGATGAATATATAATATTGCAACTTGTATAAATATGTACATAGTCTTAATATGTTATTGCATGGCAAGTGCTGGTTACATTTTATGCGATGACATTTGTTAATTTGCACTGACTCTATCAATGGAAGCGAATCATATACACATATTGCTGTTGGCTTCGGTACCAATGAATCACGTTAACCACGAGTGTGCGTGTGTACATGAATCAAGGTGCATTCGGGGAGCAAGGCTGCAAAGTCTGCACCCTGGTGGGTGCTTACAAGTCCCTCTGCGCCCCTTAACGAGCCGGTTAAAACTCCCAGATGCTCCACCCATATGCACAGCTTGATGTAAAATATGCTCCTATCTTTCCAAACATCTGGTGGCACTTGCGACCCAGCACAGACAGTGGGTTGAAGCGAGTCCACAGTTGCTCTTTGTGAACCTCTGTACGGTGCGACCAACACCCACGTTGGGAGCCAGTGGCGAATCCAGGGACTTGCCAGGGCAGGAGGGTTTAATAAAACACATAATTCAATGCATGGTAAATATCAATACAATCACAATGTTTTGGGTCTCAATAATAACATACTCGACATTGTAAGAAATAATCACCACACACTTTCATTAACCGATTAGTTATCTAAATGACACAAAACGACCTCGCTTGAACTTCCACACCGGCACTGCTGTATTCTTGCATTGGCATCAACTCATTGAAGGCTAAGAAAATACGGCCGTAATGCATCTGGACACTTGCTGAACAAGTAAATGGTTTATTAATAATTAAGGGTGTAAAATATGTTTCGGTATATGGACGATTCTACTTGTGTTAAATTCGAATCAAAGAGCAAACGTCAACTTGCAGAACCAAGAGTTACCCAATCTTTAATAAGGTCAGCTTTAAGCTTGGATTCATTTTCTGTAATTATTTACAAAACATATACCAAATGCAGTCAGTAAATTTAATTTACACAATATATCATATGCTTTTGGGTTATTCACATATCATATTGTATGACTATATTCAAAACAAGTATAATTTATATGAAATTCCATATTAGCATGCACATATTACATAAACATTCGCATGTTAACATATTCATAGGCTTGCCATTGACATAACCTATACATAACCACAATAATGCCCTCAACGCAAACATCATCAATGAAAACACCCTTGGTGTAGCTCTATATTTTGGAGAGTGGAACTCGTACGGGATTGTGAAAAGGTTTTATGGCCACAGCAAAAGTGTGGTTCGTTCGGTTTCCATGAACGTGTTAACGAAACGTATTGGCACAAGAGCCCGGCTCACTCTGCAAGGCGACGCATTTCCATTCTTCAGCCGAGGGCGCCGATGCCACGACTCCGGTAAAGAGCCAGCAGCAGCCTCGTCTCAGAACGCCTTCACCTGTCACGCGGCTGTGTCTAATAGGTGACTCGTGGCCCCGCGAAACGCTGCACAGCAGAACCCAGTCCACTGTCTTGGGCTCTCCATTGAACTGCTGCCATCTGCCTCGAGACGTGAAACAGCTCCTGGGAACTGAAGAATTCAATATTGCACAACAGTTGTTAAGTGTTACAAGTGGCGACGACTTGGCTCACTGTCATTCTGTATACAGTACTTGTACTTAATTTATTCTGCATGGTATAATTCTGTACTAAATACCAAATATAAACTTCGTACATGTGCTAGCCCTAACCAGTGCTGTTAGACAGCTTTACACGCAATACGTACGTATACGTCGATTCAGTATTAAATCAGTAAGCAGGACTGTATGCGACAACAATTTTGAGTGTTAACATTTACAACAGTTTCATTAACACCGTTTCCTGCTCAAAATTGTGTAGCCACAACACAGTGTATTACCGAGACATTCCATTGCGGCTAAACTGCGAGAATGAATGGCCAGAGGTTTCTGTGAGCATGTCTCCTCTGCTCTGCTGTCCCCGTGTAATGGATGTAAATATGGTGCATGGACACGTGCGGCCGCATTCCACATCAATAAAGCTTGTACAGTGCTCTTGGCTCCAGTGTCCATGTAGAAGCGCACGCTGAGCCCGACACCGGCTGGAACAGTCGCTGTCGCATCCACGGCTCTCAGTGGCCGTCTCCACTGCGTTCACAATGTCCCTTCAACATCCATGAGGTGGACACACGTGGCTCGGAGCCACTGCGCTCACGCCGCTGATCTGAATTTGAATGTGGGGAGCTCCCCGTGAATTTCGTTGTTGTGTTGGGATTTGGTCTCAGCCTCATCAACAACTTCACGCAAACAACATTCGTTTTGCACTCCAAACATTTGCATATATTACACCTCTGGGAATTAAATATATTACGTTCACTGATATGCAACGAACATTACCATTTGTGGCAGGGCAGGTGGGAAGTTGCTGCTTCCTCGTGTGGGACAAGAGATAGCTCGACAGTCTACAAGTAGTCCAATCACTTTTCTAAGACAGGATGATGGGCATCTTGGCGAGAGTTGGGAACGGATTGTCTTGTGACACGATCAGGATAAATTTGTGAAAAACACGAACCATTCCACAGCACTGAACGCTGAGGTCATACTCGACATCTCACAGGTGTGTGTCATCAATGGGACTGCACACGAGCGACATCAGTGTCGCCGACTCCTGCCACTCTTATGAAGCCCATTTCTTCTCGTACCTTGAGCAAACAGCACAGGATAAACTCCCATTACACTCAGCGCACGTTACCAGGAAACATGCAGTTTCACGTTTATTAAAAGTGGACATTTTGTTTGTTATTAAAGGCACTTGAGGCAAGGTCGTCATAACCCACACGATATCAAAGTCTTCGTTGACTGTTCACAACACCGCGATTCCAGAGCCATGGTGATGGTATCCCTCATGACCGTCAGCTATTGCATATCTATCAGTTGGAAAGATAAAATCCCAAGTTTGCATATTGGAGTGCACTGCACATGATGGTAGCATGGCATTAGTGCCGGATGTCAGACACGATCAAATGCTTTAGATATGGCAAGCGGTATGGTCACGGATGCTCCAAATTGTTCCAAGGCTTGAGCTCCAAGCATGCGTCATATATGCATACAGGTCACGTGCAGAATGTGCTTTATGGAACCCATAGTGATACTCACTAAGAAATGATGACTCCAAGTAATGGAGGAGCTGATTGCTGATTTTTAATTCCATCACTTTGCATTTTACATCCTGGAGACAAGGATAAGACGTTTTGGGCAATGGCCCTTCTTTAGAATGTCGGCTTGTCATATACTGTACAGGTGTTAAGGCATAGCTCAACGAATATTGGCGAGATATTTTTAAGTGTGCTTTTCACCGCTGCCAGTGTAATTTGCGAATTGTACCGGGTATGCACGGCATACATTCGTATGGTAGTAAATGGGAGTGGGATATTTCTGCATTTTAGCTTTTGTATCACTCCACAGGAGGTAATGTATTTGGTACACCTTGGACAGGGATTAAACAGTTGTAAGCGTTTATAAAGAGGGTTGAAGCCCTAGGAGTGAAACCAATCAACTTCTACGATGTACATTTAACACAGACGATGTTGTAATTTGTTGAGATTCAACGTTTAAAAAAGGATTTTCAGTTTTTAGGGATGTCAACAAAGCATCAATGTGCTAAATTCCAGCATTTTACCTGGATACATCGATTAATCTTCGGCTTGTACACATGCATTAAATGGTGTGCAATAATTTATTTCCATTCATATGTTGTGTACGTAATGGGGTCACGTGACCTCTCCAGCCACTAGAGGGCGCTCCAAGGATTTTCCAAATAAACTCTCAACCCGGAGTCGCAACAATTTATTGAAACCCAAGGGGGGTGAAGAGTGACATCTTTATTCTTCTAACAATTTTAGAACATCATTGGAATGTGAATCAGTCATTATGATCCATATATACTCAATATTGGGCAAGTACATATAACAATGCATATTCGACAGCTGGGACACAATGAGCAAATGACAAATGAAAGTAAATGGGCTAAAAAATGTCAAGCGAATAGTCGTTATCAAAACCAGGCACCAAGCACTCGTACATCCTAGCAACAACAAGACAAATATCCCTTGCATAGCCTTAATAGACTTTTTGGTCAAGTGCTGTTAGCAAGCACCTATGAAGGACGGAACAGCACACGAGGGGGTTGGTGATCAACACCACGCCCGGCCGCCTTTGTCTCCCTGATGGCGATGTTGACACTTCGCACCAGGTACTCATTTGAGGCTGAGTCGACCAAGCGGAGGCCCAGGACCGATTCAGATAATCATCACTGGTGTTAGCCATGAGCGGGAATCAAACTCGGGTTGCCGGGTTCGTAGCGTAGCACGCAAACCGCTGCACTATCGCTCCCCACACACACTTGCTACTTCCTCATTTTATGTGGAGGTCGAAGGGATGGGTTTAGATGAGTGAAACAGCGGGCGGGTTGTCACAGTGACGGACTGAGGACGGTTCTGAGCTGCCGCTGCTTCTCCTCACGTGCCTTCATCACCGCCTCCACCTGCTGCTCATCGAGAACCTTGCGCACTCCAATCTTCAACTCATCCACACCCTTGCCTTGCACTGCCACCACAGGCAACACGTGCTCAAAAGGAAAGCGCTCTACCGGTACCATTCCTGCAGGCAGCAGGGACAGGAAGTCTGTTGCAGCACACACACACACGGTCAGTGAATAATAAACAGGTACAACATAAATCTTGACATATTCTTGGTTCTTTCGGTAAAGTCACGTAGAAGGGAAACAATGAAATAATAAAAATATAAAACAATATTTTACCGGAGACGTTTAGCGACGACGGCGCGGCCTGGCTCCGCCCTGAGCGTGCCTCCCTTCTCGAACCCACTAGCAGATTCCAGGGGCCTCCAGACGGGGTCCTCCGTGACCCTTGGCCTAGTTCCTCCCCTCTGCCCACACCCCGTGCTCACGCCCTCACCGGCATGTGCACTGTCTGTCCACCACAGTTGCCGCTGTTGTCCACCAGCCGGTGCTATTACACTACACCAGTTATTTTTTTTTTACTATGGGAGAAAACCGGAATAACCCATGCAGAAGAACATAAAACTCCACAGTGGCAATCGAACCCAGGCCCTTGTTGCTGTGAGGTACACATCTTACCAATACACCACCCTACTGCCGCGATGAAGGCAATGTCACTCATATTTACATTACCAAGTTCCAGAACCTTTAAATGTATTTACCTTGTGGATGCATCAACTGATGGCAAAGCTGTTTATACTTCTCTTGTGCACCAGGAAGGTCCATTTTATTCACAGCCAACACAGCTGCTTTGCCCAGGAGATCTGGGTCATAGAGCTCCAGCTCCTGCAGCACAACACAAAATAACCCCAGTTTCTCATTCCCTGCTACCTGGTCATACGAAGTGCCTCATTAGGGTTTTGTTTATCCTTGCCTTTTGTGACATTAGTGCTGTCATTTATTCTCAGTCACAATATCTGCCCTCTACAATTACTGCACCAAGCTGTCCTCTGCTTCCAATCCTTGGTCTCATTATCGTTTCTTCTTTGACAATGTCTTCAGCTTTCTCTAATTATTATTTAAGACATATTTTAGGCCCAGGGCCAGTTCCTGACAAGAGCTTATCTTTCGGTCATTGCAAATTTGATTGCTGAAAATGTTCAGACATGACTCATCGATAGAAACAGCAGCGGCCAGGAATCAAATCCAGGTGCGGGTTCATAACACAATGTGCAAATAATAATAACTTAGAAACACAATAATTTTAATACAAATAATTAAATAAAATTATCAAGTCAAACTGATATCGCGATTATTGTCACATCATAACATTTAAAATGATATCGTGGACAGAAACACCACTAAAATGAAAAACCTCAATCGCGCAGCAATGCCTCAACCCCATTCAAAAGAGGAAACAAAAACTTACGTGAACGTTTAAGTCAATAACTATTCTATTTTTTTAAACCTTTCAAATATTATTCACACTTACCTGTGACCTCATACACACACTAACCCCCTCATTAAAAATATATTTTTTTCCTTTAACTGCTTATCGAATAAAATTATGAAACACTACAATGTAAATAATGTTTTATCACAAGTTAAGTTCCAAGAGAACACGGCTAGATACAAAAATACACACACCTTGACGAGCAGCTGGACGGTCTGAAAGGCATCCCTGAAATGCGTTTTTGGTGACAGACGGAATCCAAACACGTCAACCTGCAGAAAACAAGGTCCCACACGCTACATTGCATCTTCATTTACACACTCGTTGGTGCCGGTTTATTTTGCTTCCATCAGAATTACGAAATTACAAAGTACAAGTTGACTGTGCCTGTGTGATGGCCGGCACGCAGGCAGCACTCAATTTGCTTTCCAACTCTGGACTCGGCGAGCGCCACGACGGCCGCGCGCCGAGCGACTACGGCACCGAGCCACCCGCTGGGCACGGCTCTCGAGACCAGCGACCCCATCACAGCGACCCCATCACAGCGACCCCATCACAGCGACCCCATCACAGCGACCCCATCACAGCGAGCGCCCACCCGTGAGTGCCGCGGCTCAACCGCCACGCGTCGCCATCAAGCGTCTCCCTATCAGAAGGTCCTCGCACGCATTACCGCTTCTATCTGCGTGAATACGATTTGCGTCATTTCACTTTGTTTTTGACTCGCTTTATGCAAGACTCCAGATCAAGGCCTTCAGCCGTTGCATGACAGACGCACCTGCGGCGATACAAGGGAGCCCGTGCAAAGCAGCGGAGGCAGACGGCACCCTGAAAACCTTCAAATGCAGCTTTCATAGGCTTAGGATTCGAAATAAAAAAGTAATGAAAAAAAACGTCGTCCATCGCGCCCTTAGTGGTTGCACGGGTGTCAGATGTACTGGAGCGCCTCACTAGGGGGAGTGCGACCAGGCAGCCGGCTCATAAAGCCAGACGGAAGTACATTGAGGAGTCATAACGTTCATGTGTGAGGCTCATGGGAACAGATTCAGGAGTGGCATCTCTGCAAATGTAGTGAAATGTGACTGCCGCCAAACTCACCACGAACAGCAGTATTTTATTTCTCTGCACGTGCTTGAGGAAATGATGTCCCATCCCTTTGTTGGCGTGGGCTCCCTCTATTAATCCTGGCAGGTCAGCCACACTGATCTGTACATGAAGCCACCAACAAACGTGAACACAGGAGAACATTTACACCAAATATCAACGTTAATTTTCAACATGCCAATCTGGATGGCAGATGTGTGGAATTCCCAGAGGCCAAATAGTTTTCATTTTTTGGGGTATATGTTTCACGATATGAGGGGTAATAAAAACAATCTGTGCCCTGAAACAGCGACCAATGAGGAAACCAAATAAGCTGGGTTATTATTCTCTACTTGGCCACTCTGAATGCACTTGGAACATCCGTGTTCAACTGCTTTACATATCTGGCTCAAATCACTTGTCTACAGCACACCATGCCTCATTAAGACTAGAACTCTGCTTTTTTCGACAGATATATTCTTGACTGTTAAAAACAGATGGAAGTCACTGGGAGCCAGCTCTGGTTAAGTATGGAAGGTGGCAAAACTGATTCAGATCCGGCAATAATGATGGCAGCCGTGGCAACTTGTGACTCAAGTGTTCCTAGAGTGAAATGGCAAGTCGCGTCTCAGCTGTTTATTTTCTTTGACTGCGTTGTGCTAATCTGCGCCTGTGTCTACACATTTAAGAGTGAGCAGCACTGCGAAGAGGCATCAGTGTTGCAAATCGATGCCATAAAAAATACTTGAGAAGTCCCACCTAGCTGCTGCAGTGTAACTGATTACATTTGGACATATATACCAATATACAGCTATATGTCCAAACAATGCAAACTGTGTAATTATTGTAAAATGTTAAGCGCACCTGCCTGTGGTCTTGGAACATCATCGTGCCTATTTGTGGACACAGCGTTGTAACTGTCGAACACAATGAACAAAAATAAAGTCACAGAATCACTTTAGTCTCAGCATTCTCTTTAAGCAGTAATTTCACAGACATCGTAGCAATGTATAATAATAATAATCGTGAAACTAGATTAGACAGTAAATATCATGGCATTGTTGAGAAACTAAAATAATGCCAGCAGCTGATCACCCATTGAGCTGATAAAATGGAACCGTTTAAAGAGCTCTGAACAATAAGAGATGATAGCACAGAGTGTGTATGCCACAAATAATGAAACATTTAGTTTTACACTTGCATTATTGAAATGACAAATTAACCATGGTCTTACAGTTTAACCATATCTGGGAAAGTCACTACTGCATCAAAATAATCAATTAAAATACAAGTTGGGCTTGGGCACGACACGTCACGGCTAGAAGGGATCATGGGAGCTGGTCAAGAAATATAACAGAGCGGCAGCCAAGGGATGGAACGCATCTGAGATGGCATGCTCCGAGGAGATGGAGCGATGATATCGTTCCGTGTGCAGCGGGTGCTAGTTGAATTGTTGCATTGCAGGATTGTGAGGGATGGAGGCAGATTGGGGAGGTCTTCATCCAGGAGTGGATTCTCCGTGGCTGATGATCTAAACTCACATAAATGTGGGATTTTATGAGGTAAGGGAGCTAAAAGATATGAATTAGTTGTCTTCAATTGAAGCAGCTAAATACATTAAAGATGAGAGAGATCAGGATGTGGCCAAATAAATTGGAGGAAGAACCGAGGCACGCCTCCTTGACAACAACCATAATTGGAGCAGCAGCAAAGGAGATTCAAGGACGCAAGGAATCAATGGTGACAGATGGCTACAGCAAATCAGCCAAAGCATAATGACGAATCAGGCTTCATACTTGACTCCATGAGAGTTGTGACATAACAGAAATACCATCTGAATTAGAAGTAAAATCTTGTTGAAATTGTGCTTTATATAACAGAAGCTGCTCTTGAGAAAAGAGTGATCTGGCAATGCAATATTTATTCAGCTCAAGATAAAACAAAGCATTTTTTCCTGTGGTAATATTGCTTCGAACAATTCTATTGCTTGTCTTGCCATTTTCCAAAAGCAATAGAAACACATTTCCATATACAGTGAGGGAAAAAAGTATTTGATCCCTGCTGATTTTGTACGTTTGCCCACTGACAAAGAAATGATCAGTCTATAATTTTAATGGTAGGTTTATTTGAACAGTGAGAGACAGAATAACAACAAGAAAATCCAGAAAAACGCATGTCAAAAATGTTATAAATTGATTTGCATTTTAATGAGGGAAATAAGTATTTGACCCCTCTGCAAAACATGACTTAGTACTTGGTGGAAAAACCCTTGTTGGCAATCAGAGGTCAGACATTTCTGGTAGTTGGCCACCAGTTTGCACACATCTCAGGAGGGATTTTGTCCCACTCCTCTTTGCAGATCTTCCCCAAGTCATTAAGGTTTCGAGGCTGACGTTTGGAAACTCGAACCTTCAGCTCCCTCCACAGATTTTCTATGGGATTAAGGTCTGGAGACTGGCTAGGCCACTCCAGGACCTTAATGTGCTTCTTCTTGAGCCACTCCTTTGTTGCCTTGGCCATGTGTTTTGGGTCATTGTCATGCTGGAATACCCATCCACGACCCATTGTCAATGCCCTGGCTGAGGGAAGGAGGTTCTCACCCAAGATTTGACGGTACATGGCCCTGTCCATCGTCCCTTTGATGCGGTGAAGTTGTCCTGTCCCCTTAGCAAAAAAACACCCCCAAGCATAATGTTTCCACCTCCATGTTTGACGGTGGGGATGGTGTTCTTGGGGTCATAGGCAGCATTCCTCCTCCTCCAAACACGGCGAGTTGAGTTGATGCCAAAGAGCTCCATTTTGGTCTCATCTGACCACAACACTTTCACCCAGTTGTCCTCTGAATCATTCAGATGTTCATTGGCAAACTTCAGACGGGCATGTATATGTGCTTTCTTGAGCAGGGGGACCTTGAGGGCGCTGCAGGATTTCAGTCCTTCACGGCGTAGTGTGTTACCAATTGTTTTCTTGGTGACTATGGTCCCAGCTGCCTTGAGATCATTGACAAGATCCTCCCGTGATGTTCTGGGCTAATTCCTCACCGTTCTCATGATCATTGCAACTCCACGAGGTGAGATCTTGCATGGAGCCCCAGGCCGAGGGAGATTGACAGTTCTTTTGTGATTCTTCCATTTGCGAATAATCGCACCAACTGTTGTCACCTTCTCACCAAGCTGCTTGGCAATGGTCTTGTAGCCCATTCCAGCCTTGTGTAGGTCTACAATCTTTTCCTGACATCCTTGGAGAGCTCTTTGGTCTTGGCCATGGTGGAGAGTTTGGAATCTGATTGATTGATTGCTTCTGTGGACAGGTGCCTTTTTACAGGTAGCAAGCTGAGATTAGGAGCACTCCCTTTAAGAGTGTGCTCCTAATCTCAGCTCGTTACCTGTATAAAAGACACCTGGGAGCCAGAAATCTTTCTGATTGATAGGGGGTCAAATACTTATTTCCCTCATTAAAATGAAAATCAATTCATAACATTTTTGACATGCGTTTTTCTGGATGTTGTTGTTGTTATTCTGTCTCTCACTGTTCAAATAAACCTACCATTAAAATTATTGACTGATCATTTCTTTGTCAGCGGGCAAACGTATAAAATCAGCAGGGGATCAAATACTTTTTTTCCCTCATTGTAAGTCTGTAATATGCAAATTTGTTCCAAATAATTAAAATTCAACGTGATGGAAATGGATTGTGTCTGAAGGACTGCTTTCATCCAGCAGTAGAAGATGGCCTCCCAAGGTCACTTATGAGATACTTAGAGAAGAGATGTCAGGCAGTGGAGAAGATGAAGGTCTTGAGCATGGACTTGAATAAGCGCAGGGAGTCTAGGGCACACAGCCGGGAGGGGATTCCAAACGACGGGGGCTACAGAGAAGAACGGAAGACCTCCCACTGAGTGAAGATTTATTGAAGGTTTCAAAAAAAGGCCCTTGTTAGTTGAGCGGAGAGTGCACCGAGATGAGTCGGGTGAGATGCAAGAGGAACAGTACACAGGGCGGGTTCATAACGGATCTTGAAAATGGTGAGGGTGATGTTGAAGTTGATCCGGGACTGTATTGGGAGCCAGTGGAGGAAGTGGAGGAAGTGGAGGAACTGGAGGATTGTGACGATGCGGTCGCGTTTAAGGGTGTGGGTAAGTAGTCTGGCGGTGGAATTGCGGATAATCTCGTGTGTAAATGCGAGGGATGTGGGTATGCATTTTGGATAATCTTGTGTTTGAATGAGAGGGATGTGGGTAGGCCGCAAAGAAGAGAGTTGCAGTGACGACTCGAGATGAAGGTCTCCGGAGCTGATGGGGTAAGTGGTGGTTGTGGGAGATAATCACGGATGGAGGTACAAGGTCCTGCAGAGTTGAGGTAAGAGGAAAGAGACTGAGAGCTCAGAAGAGTCGCACGCTTGTTGTCAGTGTAACATCAGAGTTAAGGAGGTACCCGGTTCGGATCGAGTCGAGGACATTTCCCTGATGAGGCCACCTCATATTAAGCAAAAGATAAGATTTAGTGGAAATTAAGAACAGGTACAACCTCGTGAATTGGCGAAAAATAATCAAATAACCAGCCAAATTACTACTGCCCCATTCCAGGGTACTTGTAAACAACCAAATAGCTGTATCAGCAAAATAGCTGTATCAGCTATTGTGCTGTGACTGTTCCACCTGAAGACAGAAGCTTTTGTTGCCTCCGAAACGTCGTGATTTAATTTAGTTGTTTTCATTTATTTTATTTCACCTACGTGACTTTACCGAAAAAACCAAACAGTATGAATCCTTGCAGTAACGAAAGCTTCAAATCTAAAACCATGAATGCCACAATTGTATTTTATTTTCAAATACTCGGGCTATATGCATAATAGTATAGTGCAGCAGTGGGGACTGGGTGACTCAGAGAGCTAACACTTTGTCAGAGCAATGAGCCAGCACCATTGTGCTTGGATCTGGGCTTCAGATTGCCATGATTAAACTGGGTTTTCAAGTGTAGGGAGATAATGGCCTCAGCCCAATTACCCATGGCTTTCCAAATATCCATCATTAAATTTGTTTAGTTTTTGTAGTTTAGTTTATATCTCTAATAATAATGATCCTAAAACAGTAACATATTTACGAGGTATTTAAATGTAAATTCACGTACATGTTAAGCTGGGTACGTACAAGGGTAGTCGGCAATCTTGGGCTTGGCAGAAGAGAGTTTCTCTAACAGTGTTGACTTGCCAGCGTTAGGGAACCTGCACAATACACACAGGTCCATACTGCTGTAGAATGCTGCTTAGGTAATCAAGTCAATAAAAAGTCAAATCCTCTCCGCTCAAAATATTAAGCACACACACCTCCTACCAATATATGTCCCTCCACAATCAGCCACGTTGCCTTCTGGGAATGCATAGTTTTTTTGGAAGCATTGGATTAACACAAGGAAATTATGGACCAGGTTTGATATTCAGTGTCTCATCAGAAGAGTCAGGCTCGCTTGAACCAATGCTGGTGAACTGTCAGGTGTTATAGGCAAGGATAATCTCTTGTTAGATGCGTCCTAGTTTAACAAAAAACTATACATTAGCATATGTGTGGAGAATATAACGTACACAAAAAGCAGACAATTTTCATATGCCTGTAACGATTCCACATTCCCATAGGACGACATCTCATGAATTACCTCAAAGTGGTTCTCACTCTTCCACCTTCACAGGGGTATAAACAGCTTCGTAAGTCCATCGGCTCAGCCAGCCAGTCAGCACATCAGCAATTCTCATCACACAGAATCCACCGAGGACTCAGTGTGACCGTAATAAATCATGAACATATGGTCGGAATGATCAGTTAATTAGGAACCATGACCTTACACCAGGTGGTGGACAAAGTTGGGGAAGGGCGGATACAATGCAGTGGGGGCTGGGCAATTTGTCCACAAGGCTGATTGTCACTCACAGCATTTACTTCAACGTCTTTATCATGCAGGGCCCAATACGGCTTCATTCTGATGAAATTAACCTGTGGATCTGGGCGATGCAATGTTATCCATGTGTGACTCGTGATTTTTTACCAACGTGTAAAAAGAGCCGTGACTACAGTTACCCGATGAGGCCAACGTCGGCAATGAGCTTGAGGTCGAGACGAATCATCCGCCTCTGTCCGGGGCTGGGCTGATAATCCGTGGTGAGTCCCCCACCCAGGCCGCCCACCGCAACGCGCACGCGGTCCTCAGGGCTGTTCACCTCCCCTGGAAGTAAAACAAGAATAGGATGAGTAATCAGGAATTGTCACTGCTAAGGAAGGCCTTAGCGGTGACACTTCTTCAGCAGTGGTAGCACAGTTAGGAAACTTTTCATGAGAATATCCAGGGAATTTCTTGAACATTTTCTGTACACAGTGAATACCCATCGAGCCTAACTTAAATCAGCCAGAATGTGGGGGATGCCGGACAAGCTTCTCACAAACAAAGCAATACAAATAAAGAAAACAAAACTAAAATGAAGCGACGACGCAAACTTCGTGAGTGGTGGGGTCCTCACAATCACACGGAGACATCGCGATCGTTTGCATTTACCCGTGCCTTTAATTCACTTGAGCTCTCATGAGATTGTAATGATACAATTATGGGTCTGGATGCCATGTGCATATATCCTCAACTAGCTTGTTTGCCTGTCCGAGGACGGAAGCTGTAATATTTATGAATAAATTGTCCAGAATATAATTGTATCTTGTGTAAATTTAATGGCAGTGAATCTTGCACAAAACGACGTCATAAAACACCTCACTTCATGTCACTGTAGCACTATATAACTGACCTTCAATTTGTTCAAATTCACTGCTCTGATATTTTATTCTCTTCTGCTTTCGGTCGCTGGGGTTGAAATAAATTTGAATTCGATACAATATCTGGAAAATCACCGAGAAATGTCTATTTTACCATCATTTAGAAGCATAAATTAGACTAACCTTTTGTCTCAAGTGTTGAAGAAATAAATAAAGACACCAAATCCACTTTGTTGCTGCGTATAATTATTTATTCGATTCACTTTCAATAAAGAAACGTCAAACTTAAAGCGAATTTGCGGATTTTTTTAAATTTCCGCTCAACCTTCTTCTGCGCGAGTGTAAAAATCTACCCGCTCATGAATATTAATGACTGGGGGTGCGGCATGTGGAGTGGCGGCATGTGGAGTGACGTCATGCGAGTTACACACAAATAGACATTCTTGGCCCATCATAGTCGTAATGCTCTAATGTCGTGCAATGCATACCTATGAGGGTCCCGTCATCTGTGTGGACAGAAATCCCCAAGGGCACCTCGATTTGAAAGTCTTTGCCTTTTGCACCTTTGAGACATCGAACACTGCAATCACGCCGTGCAGGGAATCAGTTGTATGTAATACGTAGTCATTATTAACCACCCACGATGTACATGAAACACTTAATACCCTGCACAAATGATACTTAACGGAGTGTGTAAGACAAAAGACGGAAGATATAGAAACACAGTACTCATTAACAATACCCCTTGTATGCATTCAGGTTGTCAATAATAATGCACCAAGTCTAAGTTAGTTCACCAGGGCAGTGTGCCGTGCAAGAGCAATCAATGCACAGTTGTCTCTAAACTTTGTGCAATGGCAAGAGGCAGTGGTGCGTCACTCCTCGTGGGTGCGTGCGAGTCCGCACACGGCTGAGGAGGGCGGACTCTGCCAACAAATCACGGTCGACGAGATTTCTGTTTATAAGTCGCTGAGCTCTGGTCCAAAAAAAATGTCATGCGGCGAGCAACAAACAGCACTATCAACATCTTGAATGTTGTCATGAGGAACAGCTTGGGGAAAAGATACGATGGCAGGGAATTCCAAAGTGCGGCAGTTCGAGGAAAGCAGCAGGGCGATACGTGCGGTGGATTGTAACAGGGAGGGCATAAAGAGGGAATCCAGCCACCTTCTACCATCGACGTCGGCGTCGCATAACAAACAGCGTGGCCGCTGCAGCAGCTCCGCGGACTACTTCCCACTGCCTCGGGTGCCAAGACCAAGCACCACGGACTTGGCACCACGGGAGCGGGCGAGGCGAGAGGTCACCTGCTGTTGCCTCCAACCCCGGCCGCGAGGCGCTTGGAGGGCTGCCGATCGGTGACTTGGCGCAAGGAGGAGCCGGGCCGGGCCAGGACCCAGACGTCTCCGCCGGGGCCGCCCTCCCCGCCAAGGCGCGGCAGCCCCATGCCGCCCGTGCCGCCCCGCACGTGGAGCCGCAGCGAGTCCACGAAGTGGCGGTGCCGCGGCGTCTGGGCGGGGTGGGGAGGGAGACACGGGGCCGGCAGCTCCCTGGCACTCCCGACTCGCGTCCCAGGGCTCTCCGCGCTCTCTCGCCTCTCCCAGTGATCACAGCGCACGGTGCGCTCGGTGCTCTCGGCTCACCGAACAAATGAGTGACCGTCCATAAATGACGTCACGCGATTTTGGCCAATTTTTGACCCCCCCTCCCCCCCTCGTCACACGGCGTCACAAAAAGTCAGACCCCCCTCAAATGTGTCGTCACAAAGCTCTGCCCCCCCCCCCAAACCATATTTCCATTTTGAAAATAAAACAAGCTTCAAATCGCTTTAAACTATTGTCATTGTAGTGCGTATTTAATGTGGCGCTTTACTCTGATGTAGGAGAAAACACGTATATTAAAAAGGCGTTGGAAAGCTGAAATTTAGCATAAAATTAACTTGAAAACATTCATCGTCTAAATAAAACTGCAGATGTTCAAAATATATTGAAATTCTCTTATAATTATAAAATATTAAAAGTAATTCTAACTATAAAAAATACTTAAAACTTTGTAGTAGAACGAAGCAAAATGGAGCTTATAATTATATCAATCACATTCGTTCCACAGAATGAAAAGCCCTGGTAGAATAATTGAAATAAACATGTATAATAACAATCATTTAAAAAGTACAAAATGTATGCTTCTCCATTCTCCCATGGAGAAGCAAAACGCTCCTTCATGGAGTAAATAAAAGGTGACCTTAGTAAATTCAAATAATCAAATACAGTAGTTAATAATGAAAACTGATTAAAATTAGTGTTATAACAATTATATTTATTTAAAGTTGCGCATTTTGATGTGACGTCACATTTCTAAACCTCCCCCTCTCGTCACACATCGTCACAAATGTCTAACCCCCTCCCCGCTCTAGGTGCGTGACGTCATTTATGGACGGTCCCTGAGCCGCAGCCGCAACACCCGGCCGCCTGGACACATCCCGTCAGCCACTCGGCTTTCTGGGGAGTGCGACTTGTCAACAGAATTTGTTCAAAACAACGCAAGAAAATTCTGGCCCGTTTTCGACTTTCAGCGTCTCATCAGCAGCCAAGGGCGCGCGGCGCGCGGCGCGTGCCCGGGGCTCTGCGCGGCCTGGCTCGGCTGGCCGCGTGGAGTCGGGCAGCCTCCGTACACGGTTGGCTCTGCGAGGCTGGCTGTGTGTAGGCTGGCTGTAGGCTGTGTGTAGGCTGGCTGCGTGAAGTTGGGTGTCCGTAGGGAGGCTGGTGTGGCCGCACCTTCCCTGCTGCCTGCAGGAGGAGCGCGCTGACCCCGCGCACCATGGCTGCTGCCCCCCGTCTCCCCACGCGGTTCCGCCTCCTCCTCGGTCGCTCCCCGCGGCCTCCACGAGGGGGCGCCGCGGCCTGGGCGGTCTCCTCGGCCGCCTCGCCCCGCTGGGCGCTCCCGAGCCCAGGGAAGGGCTCATTCGCAAGTCACCGGAATGACAGAGGCGATAACATAAAACAAATACAACAATTGAGCAAATACAACAATTGAGCAAATACAACTACGTTACAGAAATCATCTAAATACTGCACAAACATAATCGACATCAGATTTAATACATGCCCTGTATGTATTTATTGTGGAGGAGGGGGTGAGTCCTTTGTCCAGAGCAGACATTCCACGTTCCTCTGGTGGGACGATGCTGGTGTCTTAATGTGACAACCACTGTTGACTCAAATACGTGTTTTTATTTAACCATGAGATACAAGCTTGCAGAGAGGATAATAGAATGGGAAGGATGAGTGGTTGTTATGTGGAGTGATAACGATTATGTTGATAGTGATTAAAAATCATGATCGTGATGCATGTTGGTAGCGACTGTGATGATGGGGATTTTGAGTGCTGCCGGAGTTCTGCTCAAGATATGTGTGGATGGTAATTAGGCTAATGATTATTATGAGATAGGGAATGACAGCAGGGTAATGATGTTGATTACGATGGTGAAAGCAATGACGTACAGAAATACCCATTGTTGTACCGTACTACGCTGCAACGTCTATGCTCGCGCCTTCACTGACCAGTGCCATGAAGTGTGGTCACGTCACACCTACGACTCGCACCGCGTGGGAAACCCCTCATATTGCAGCCGCTTGACAAACATCTTTGGATATTTTGGCCACACGATCGGCGTGACGCCGATTAACTTTTGACATGACCGCCGAAGTCGACATCAGCCACGTGGACTCGACGTTGTCACTGCTTCAAGAGGAGAACACGAATCGACTTCTTCTGTCGTCACGCAGCAGTTACAGCGACAAAAAAGGTGTCCACATCCCACATAAAACCTGCGCACATGAAAATGCCCAACGTCTACGCATCTTTTTTTGGAGATAACATAAATATATACACATCCCATATCTGTTGCTCCACACAAAAAATAAAAGTGTTTTTATACATTACATCAGCCAAACGGCCTTCTGGGAGCACACAACCTCAGCAGCATTGGCACAACACACCAAAACTGGACCGGTTTCGAAATTGTCTCATGAGTAAACCGTGCTTTCTTGAACCGAAGCCAGTCAACTGCTGGATATTTCAAGGTTATTGGAGATAAAATAGTGGGTTTGGTGGTGATAAAGGCAATGGTGGCAGTGTTGATGATGGTGGTTGTGACGAGATAGAAGATGATGTGGGCATGACGATGGTTGTGAATTGGTGATGAAGCTGAGTTGGTGATGATGGTGACACGGGCAGGTGGAGTGTGTTTTGAATTCAGGCAGGATTTTTGTTGTATTAAAATGTATTTAATTTTAAAATGTATTTAATTTAAATTACCTACATATAAATGGATCGTGCCTAATGTTCACAAGAAGAAATCTCCCTATAATGGGTGTTGACATCCCGTGACATCGAATATGATTCGGCCATTGTGTGCCGGCACTACGGTCCAATATAACTAACTATGAGTAATAACTCGCAAATTACGTAATTTGAAAACACAAAGCATCATTGTCCCCTACTGCAAAAGACATGGCATGACTCTCCTAAAACGTAGTCTTGAGACTCACTGAGACTGTCCTGAGTAAACGAGTGGAATCAGGAAGATACATTCAAGACAACAAAAGGAAACGGGGGCTGTGGAAAGACAAATGTTGTTTTGGCTGTCACGTAAGATCGACGATGACTGGTTATGTATTCTACCCGTGGGTCTTCATGTGGCTCAATAGACCGATGCGGGCAGCAGAGATTCGACTGCAGACCTAGCACGTGAACACTGAAGAGGCAGTGAAGCGTGTTGTGTTTACTTTGTTGTCCTTCCCTTCCACATCCGATTAGCACGGTTGGCTACGTATGGTGCGACAGAAGTTCAACAAGCACACACACACGCTCACTTCTCGACAGCTGCTTTCGCGCGTCGGCCTCCAGATAGTTAAACGCCGTCGGAAAGCATGGAGGAACGCCACAGCAACCGGTCTTGCTCTGTCTCGTCTCAGTCACCATTGTCGATGTTCCACTGAGCCAGTGCTCTCCACTTTCATCCTTCTCCCAAGAGCCTTCTTTGTCCTCCAGCAGAGCGCTTGCCCACTTTCAGTTTCCCATAGAGTGCGAGTCTTGGTAAATCTACTGTCGTCCATACGGAGTACGTGCCCGGGCCATATCAATGTCCAGGGGCTTTGTCGTCTTCTCACGCGCATGTGGTCGACAGCATACATGTGATGGACTTTGATGCGACGCGATCAAGCTGCGGAATGTTGCTGCTGCTTTGTATTTCGCCAATCGCCACAGGACGTTGCTCCATTTGGTTCTCCCTCTCGTCGAGCTGCCTACGCGCGAACATACATGACGGTGAACAAGAATTGCCCAGATTCAGGTTCACCCTGCCGCGCTGACAGCGTTGAGTCATTGGCCTGAGAGACCGGACGCCCTCCATGGCTGCGCCCTCGCCAGGTTGGGCCCCACGGTGGGGACGTTCACCGCGTGTGGCGCCACTGGTCCACAGTGTTGGGAGTTCCTGAGGAAATGGTCCCAGGTCTACCGCATTGCCGCGAGGTGACTGCCTCGAACCCCGTTTTGACCCCCTAGAAAACAACCCCAAAACACCCCGTGGAGGCAGCAGCAGTGTGGACAGTAGCCGAGCAGCACCGAGACATTGCCGCGCTAAGTAACAAGAAGTAAACACAATATATTCCGATTTAAAGCTTTCGTGACTGCAGTGATTCATAATCTTGGTTCTTTCGGTAAAGTCACGCAGCTGCCGTCCGTGCTGCTAACATTAGGAAAACAAACCCGCCACTTTTTAAAAATTTTCTTGCTGTGGTTTTCACACCTGATGATGATTGCTTGTGTTGCAATCGAAACGTCGTGATAATTTTATTGTTTTATTTTATTATTTCCCTTCTACGTGACTTTACCGAAAGAACCAAGAATACAATATATTCCTTTCACGTTTCTGTCCTTCCTCAAAAAGGCCATATTAGAGTGCATAATCTTCACAGTATTGGATCAATACATGCAAAATATTAATCGGGTTCGACGTACAGGCTTGCTTGAACCAATGCTGTTAAACTCACAGATGTTATAGGCAAGGACCCTCTGTTTAAGTTATAGTCAAGCAAGCCTGACTGCTGAGATAAAGCATGTCAACACCGGTACAGAGTTGGTTCTATGGAACCAATGCTGCTGAATTGATGCACTCACAGATGGTATTGTGCTTGGCGCGCAGTGGGAAACAAATACTTGTGGTCGTCTTATCTCGAGTATGCCGAGTGTCGTCTGTGTTGGGCACGTATGGTTGGGTGCGCGGTGTCGTGCGCGCCACGAGGTCCCAGGGCGACACGCGGTCCATGCCGTCACGTCGCTGAAAGGTCAAGACGCGAGTGGTGTGACTGGTGAAGTAAGAGAGCGAGCGAGCGACCCGCGGCCACGGCGCCCTCACTGACGCAACCGCGCGCTGCGGCTCCTCCCCGCCTCGGGGCGCCGGGAATAAAAGCGCCGCGACTCGCGGCCCCAGGGACCGCGCTCCCAGCCCCGCGGGAGACCAAACCACCCACCCCGCGCTCAGCCCGCACTCCCAGCACGCGGAGCGGATTGCACGGGGCGCGCTCCGAGGTCGCATCTCTACCTCCTGTGCGCCATCTCACAGGTAAGTCCACCCCTGTGCCTCACCCTCGGCAGGGTACGTCTCTACGCCTGTGTCCTCTACTCCACCCTCGGCGTGGTAGCTCACAAGAGCGCTGCAACGCAACGCGGGAACGCGGTCACATCGCAAATGCAGCTGCTCAATCAGCGACTCTCCCTGCGTGGATGAGTGAAGGGAAGTAGGAACGCGGTGCCAGGGGGAGGATAGAAGCGGCACCATCACGGCTTCACGTGAACGCGGGCGGGCACTGCGCTAGGATCCCACGGGCACAGCGCGGGAGTCCCACGGGCACAGCGCGAGGAACCCACGGGCACAGTGCGGGGGTCCCACGGGCACAGCGCGAGGGTCCCACGGGCACAGCGCGAGGGACCCACGGGCACAGCGCGAGGGACCCACGGGCACAACGCGGGGGTCCCGCGGGCACAACGTGGAGGTCCCACGGGCACAGCGCGGGGGTCCCACGGGAACAACGCGGAGGTCCCACGGGCACAGCGCGGGGGTCCCACGGGCACAACGCGGGGGTCCCACGGGCACAGCGCGAGGGACCCACGGGAACAGCGCGGAGGTCCCACGGGCACAGCGCGAGGGTCCCACGGGCACAGTGCGGGGGTCCCACGGGCACAGCGCGGGGGTCCCACGGGCACAGTGCGGGGGTCCCACGGGCACAGCGCGAGGGACCCACGGGAACAACGCGGAGGTCCCACGGGCACAGCGCGGGGGTCCCACGGGCACAGCGCGGGGGTCCCACGGGCACAGTGCGGGGGTCCCACGGGCACAGCGCGGGGGTCCCACGGGCACAGTGCGGGGGTCCCACGGGAACAACGCGGAGGTCCCACGGGCACAGTGCGGGGGTCCCACGGGCACAGCGCGAGGGACCCACGGGCACAGCGCGAGGGTCCCACGGGCACAGTGCGGGGGTCCCACGGGCACAGCGCGGGGGTCCCACGGGCACAGCGCGGGGGTTCCACGGTGGCCAAACCGCAACCCGAGGATACGCATCGTCGACGCGTTCCTGTCGAATTCAGCTTTCACTCTGAGCGCATCCACCATAAACCGATAGCACCGACAGAATTCTACAACTTTCTCACTTCGAATTTGTTGCTGCCGAGTGAATTAAAACAATTCAGACAACGACACCTGCGAAACGAGCCAAGAACCGAACTCGAGTCAAACTGTGACTCGGGTTAAAGCAAAGCTCCGCGAACATGCTGCGTGTTAGGTGTCTTAGCCAACCATCACCTGCGGACTCATTCATGCGAATAATCGTCTACCTGGTGAGTGCATGAATCTATTGAAGTACAACATCGATGTGAGGGTCTGCTGCGCGATACAGTGGTATCCTCTGGTACATATAACAGAAATTACAATTAGCGTCGTGTTCGAGAATAACAAAATAAAATATTTGCCCTTCAATGATGACCTACAGCGTTTACTGCGCGCGGCAATACTAGCCTAGAGAGTTCGCTTGTGTTGAACAATAATGCTTAGATGATGCGCTCCCAGAGAGCGGGGAGGCGAATGGGATGTATAATTTGTATATGTTTTGTGAAGAGACTAATATGTGAAGGAGGGATTTGGTGTGCGATGCCAGGATAACCAGAAGCTCGCGCGCCTCCTGAATTGTTGAGCGTGTATACATGTGGGAGGAAACCCGAGCACCCGCAGAATCCCCACACATGCGAGGGGCAACAATAATATTAATCCACACTTTGCTGTACTGCATTCTACTGGAAAGCCAAGGGAATTGAGCTTCACAACATTTCTCCGATCCACCAACTCTCGCTGCCTTCACAGTGCTAGATTACAGGCGTGCGCCACCACCGCCCAGCTCGCGGCTGTAGTGGCGGCGACACACAGCGCGTTTTCTTTACGATGCTGCGGTGTCAATGGCAGAGTCTTGACGGTCACGGGTCTCCGTCTCCGATGCGTTGCAGAGGTGACATCGCTGGGAGTGTTCTTCGCTTTAATCCCTCGCACCGCGCATCCGTGCTACCCTTTGCACAAGCGGCGTAGGCCCGAAGACCAACATCGACCTCCTCGGCCTCCTAATCCACCACGAACGCAACCACGGGTCATTCGCGCGCTTCTGGAATTATCATGAAATGGACTCAATTGTGGAATCACAGATGGTCTCGTGAAATGAGAAGTATGCGATGAATTATAGACATCCACGTTAAATATGCGCAGTGCTGAAGGGAACATGCCAAAGACGCGTGGTGTCTCAGTGAGGAGGTATTCCGCAGGGCAGATCCGTCCTCGGAGTGCGCAGGCGGTGGGCAGCCACACGAGCGGCGCTCGGCTGCTCTCCACGTCCGTGCTCGGCTTTGGATTCGTCTTGGGATTTTCACAAAAGAACCATGGGCGTCGTTGCGGAGAGAATAGCAGAACAAAATAAATAAGCAGACAATATCCGCCTCCACGTAGCAGTCCCTCCAGATGATACATACAAAATGTTTTTATACACATTCTATCGGGCACACAATCTTTTCTGGAAGTGCATGATTTCAGCAGCATTAGCTCAACACAAGCAAACAACGATGCTAATCAGTATGATACAGCTTTATGTCTTACTCGAACCCATATCTAACAGAGAGAGTCTTTTCCCATGTTAACATGTGTCAGTTCACCAGCAGCACTGATTTAAGCAAGCCTCAATGTTAAGTGTCGAGGTCGGTCTAGTTTGCTTGTGCTAAACCAACGCTGCTGAAATGATATATTGTCAGAAGGCCTTGTGGTTGATGGAATGTGTAAACATACTTTTTTACGTGGATTAACAGATATACGAAAACGTATTGTCTGCTTATTTATTAGTGAAGGAAATGCATCGTTCACTGCGTTGCTCAGCCTCCTTGACTGTGACCTCGGAAGTTCCCTGAAGACACCGATTTAAATGAAAGTGAAAATAACAACGGGAAGTGTCCCATGCGTATTCCCATTCCACATGCTGGATTCTAGCTCGCGTAGTGATATAAGAACCATCAGACGCCTGAAGGACACCCACTGTGAATACGAGAAAGTTATTAACGTTTGGGAGAAGTTTTAGCGACGTCCGTAGCTGGAAAAATAATTCAACGAGGATTTAAACAAAATCCTCGCACGTTTCACCAGCAGCCCGCTAAATCGTGCGTGCAGGCACGTATCGAGCACAGATTCAAGAGATGAGGGGTGAGGGTAGTCGGGAGCCGCCCGAGGAGCTCCCTGGGTAACATGCGCCTACTACGTGATATTGTATATGCAGGGGGTGAATTAGACATGTCAACTCTTGCCGAGTTATGAATTCTGCGCTCTGAAATTGTGCTAGATTAATCACCGCTACCACGATAGCTTAAAAACACGTCTGCGTGCGGCTTGAGACCCCTGTGCCGCAGCGCGACGACAGTGCTTGGTGGTGATGCTGTGGATCACCGATAAGTGGCCGCTCCTCTTCCAGTGCGATGGTGTCGTTGGTTGCTGGACACTCACCTGCTTCAGTAATGCCGTAGCACTCACAACGGGGGGTCCCACCTGTTCTGGTGTTACAGGATCGCCCTCTCGTTGTGGCAGCGACGATCCGGGAAAGTTGTCATTCTTCCCGGGACATAAAACAAATCCAGCTTTTGATATGCTTAAGGCGATGCATTCGCATGTGGTTCTCTCCACTTCTGGTATGATGGGATATTTGTCTTCCCATGATACACTCCGGTTGTTTAAGTCTCAGATGGACACTTTCCTCAACTCTGTTGTGGGAGTCGTTCTATGTAGTGTTTTTTGGAGCTTTTACTCAAAGGGAGGACGTCTTTGTCACCGTACGTAGCAGATCCACAATCCTCTCTGTGGCTCGCTGTGGAGGGGGGGGGGGGGCACCTCCATTCCTCGTGCGTGTACGGTGGTAGCTACCTGTGCAGTTACCACGGTGGTGGCTACCTGTGCAGTTACCACGGTGGTGGCTACCTGTGCAGTTACCACGGTGGTGGCTACCTGTGCAGTTACCACGGTGGTGGCTACCTGTGCAGTTACCACGGTGGTGGCTACCTGTGCAGTTACCACGGAGGTAGCTACCTGTGCAGTTACCTCGGTGGTGGCTACCTGTGCAGTTACCACGGTGGTAGCTACCTGTGCAGTTACCACGGTGGTAGCTACCTGTGCAGTTACCACGGTGGTAGCTACCTGTGATACTTTCACAGTGGTGAGGTCATCGTGGCTAATGGAGTTGCTGCTCCTGACGCACATCGCCTTGATGTTTGTACCGAGTCCCCTTGCGCAGAGATCGTGCAATTGTTGGTGTTCTGTGAGTGGACCGGCAGTATGTGCTGTAGATACCCATCACTGTTCGTGTATGATCGGCAGGTCACGTATGGTGGGGTAATGTATGGGTACCCCGACCTTTTCCAATACATCTGGTCAGTGTGGGAGAATAGACCAAACACCTTATGTGTATGCATATTTAACTTCTTTCGCACCCTACGTAGCCAATCTGTCAACGGGGCCATGAGCAAACAATTGCAGGGATGCATCCTGTATCTTTTACCTCTGAGCGGATGGCCTTGTAATATGAGCGTGCTTGTTTTTATTTTTCAGATCAACTTGACAATGCCCAGGTACCAAGAGAAGACTCCACGCTGGGGGAAGCCCTTTCTGTGGCTGCTCGTGGTGCTGGGCCTCGTGGTGCCATGCCTTCCTCGGGGAGACATCGACGTGCTGTCACTCAACGAGGTGAATCCACAGTGCTGGGAGTGGTCCACGATCGCAGTAATCAAGATGCAAAAGCCCCGCATGACGCACACAGTCGGCGAATTCTGGAATTTCATGCTCGGCCTGAAGAACTCTGACAACCCGCACCATGCCAATAACTTCTGGGACCTGGCGCAGCTGTTTTGGGACAAGTATGTGCAGTGTGTCATCTCCATATCGCACGGCCTGGGACGAAGGGAAACCGCTACTGCTGTGCACTCTGCCGTGCACAGCCCACGCAGGGCTCCAGGTATGTGGGCATGCTCATATTTGAGTTAAATAATTACTGTGTAGGTGGTGCTCCCCCGAATAGCACGGTTTGGCTTCGTAGGATACGAAATAAGTTCAACATACATACGTATGAAGCATTGAACATGTATTTGTTTTACAACGTCAGCTTCAGCACCATTGAAATGTAACCCTGTCATTTGCTTTAACTCGTTTACATTCACAAGTATACACTCTATATATGTGTACCAACATGCATGCACACATTGCCACGCTCCTATTCAAACGATGCAGCCATTTGGGAGCTAAGGAGGCTCGTTTCCTTCAAACCCTACAAGCGCTTCCAGCCACGGTGGGATTCAGCCGCTATTTTGAAAATGGCTTCTCTGTTATCCATAATACAGTTTTTTTGGGTTAGATTGCGTAAATATCTAACCCAAAAAACCTGAATTATGAATATTGGTCGCAAAAGCCTACGTGTTGAATTGAGATGCGTCTATTGCACATAGCCATCACTTACAGCGCCTGCAGATTAGAATACAGCACACGTGCACTCCCTGATTAAGGGTGGTGATGTACGCAATGCAAACCAGATCAATTTAAAATGCATGCAAGGTATTTAAGTTTATTATTAAAATATGCTTCCACGCTTTGATTAAACGTTTTGATTGAATAAATATGTATTGGTCACGTAATAGAACAATTAAAAGATTAAAAAATATTATATCCCCCCAAAAAATCAGAATTGCTTTAAACTTTACTCATCGTCACGTTGGCTTGGCTGTCGATGAAGGCAGGGCACCTCCTCTAGGGTCGGTTACCGGGGCTCAGAGGTCGGAAGGAAAGGGATAAAATCGTGGGGCTCATTCACATGCTGGGGAATGTTTCTGCATACCTGTGCCGATGTCTCCATTATGAACAACGTGGAAAATCGCTACGGCGATGTTTCGGCCAATCTGCCAAGGGATGGGAATCAGGTTCTGATGCTGACGCAGCTCACTGTGGCCACTCATTATGCTGCATACATCATTACCGCTCTCATTATTACAGGAGATGGATTAACATGAAGAAGCAAGTACTGTACGTCATATACAAATCAAATGAGTATGTTTAACTGCACTTAATGTTTGAATCATTGGCTCCACACACGACACCGGCACGGTGTGCTCGTGTGCGCACATGTCGCAGTGGCTGTGGAGCTGCGCGAGCTGCACCTGAATTCGTGTCAAGCAACCAGGGAGCATGGGCCAGTGCCTGATGCAAATGTCATCTTACACAAGAAACAAGACAACGAAGCAAGCAATACGCCTCCTTCATATATCCATCTCTCCATATATATTATTTTACGCATCTCATCAGCCACCACGGCTTTATCGAACATAACTTCAGCAGCATTGGTCAACACAAGCAAACTCTGGACTGCTGTTGATATTTAGTGTATCATGAGCAGATTCAGACTTGCTTTCATAGGAAAGCCATGCTTGTAGTCAAGTCTGATGAGACACTGAGTGTCGAGGTCAGTCTAGAGTCCCCACGCATGAAACCAATGCTGCTGAAATTATACACTCCCCATAAGGCTGCGTGGCTGATTGGATGTGTAAAATAATAGACATTTTGTAAGGGACAGCTATAGGAAGGAGGCGTGATTGTCTGCTTGTTTATGTTGTTCGAGTACATATATAATCAAAAGTGACGCAGATGATTACTTGGTGCTGAGACCTTACACACGGACCACCACTTTGCACCCACGACTGCGTGCAGCCACGCGAGACACCGCAATGGCAACCGCCTGTGTGGAGCATCGCTTCCCTTTTACTGTCTGTTTAATTCCAAATCATTCACCATCACCTGTAATACACATGAGTGCCTTGGGGTGGGGTTAGTATTGGTTAAAAAACAAAGTTGCTGAAGATATTTGCGTTGTTGTTGATTGATGAGAACATTTCAAATACGACTTTAATGGGTGTGGAGTGACGATATCGGCGATCATTTTATTTCATTGTATTTGTTAAATAAGTGTGCTCACATTTAATAATTCCATAGTTTCTTACGTTCTGGAGAACTGGCAATCGTGAACAGCCACAGGCAGTGTCACGAGGCCACCTCTGCACACCGCGTGATCTACGTGCGGGGATCACGCCAGTTTTAGAGATACCTTCTTTCACATGGATCCTGTAAAATGCACGTGGGTAATTCAGCAATTTACTGAATTATTTTTTTTTATTTCCACAATTTATACGCAGTATAAGCCATTGTAACGCTCAGACAATGATACTTGCAAAAAATTTAACCATTATCATAGATCAAGTAATATAGTGAACTTTCATATGTTGAGAATGTTGTTTGCTTGTAAATGAATGTAATTATTCTCTTTTCAGATTTCGCATCAGTACCTCACAGGCAAGCAGGATTGTTAATGAAGATGTCATTCCCGACTTACTTGGAAAGAATTATCAAAAAGTTCCAGCAATTTTGATTTCGTAAATAAATACACGTGCGCGAAGCGGAGATCGAACTCGGCTTCTGCTCTTTTCTTCGGTGCATTCACGTTCATGTTTAGAATTGTTGACAATTTTACGTTTTGCTATGAATATTATTATTACTTTACGATAAACGCCCTAAACTGCGCTGAGCTCGACTTTGTGAAGGCGCCGTCTGAGAGCGGTCCCCGGCGTGATTCCGAGTCCTCCGTGTGCGCAGTGTGGGCCGTGAACTCGCGGGAGGAGCCCAGAGCGGAGTCGAGGATGACCGCTCGTCCGCTTGAGCCAATCACGCGCACAGTTCCTTGCGGCATTGAATTAAACGATATTGGTGTACTCTCTAACATCACCTGCAATGATTCATATATATAAATAAACGTGAGTGGATGTTAAGAGGTTTGCACTAACAGTTTTAAGTATTAAATGTTTGGATTGAAATTCAATCTCAAATTTCAAGCGCTGCCTCCATTGAAGTGTGCGTGGCTGTCATTTGGAGTGTCGACTGTGCTCGAAGCAGGTGAAGGCAATTTTAATGCAGTGCATTATAAAACTCATTTTAGACGCTGGTTAATTAACATGTATACACAACAATCAAAATGCTTAGTTGAATTAGTTTAACGGTAGTCTGAACAAGTTAAGCGCGTTGAGTAAAGCGTGTTTTGTAAACTTTTTCTAAATCATATTTTTCATCCACGAAACCTACAATTTACAAGTGAGCATTTGTTGAGACACAAACTTGCATTTTTAGTTGTGAACTAAGAATTCAAACAAATAAAGCACGAGAACAAATAATAACTACAGTTTCTATAGCACCGTAAGTATTGAGATTGAGCCGCCTATTGTACACAATGTGTCATCTCTTTTGATATTAAACCAAGATGCAATTGTGAAGCACAAATGCAGACTGATCATTGACACCCTTAGAAATATCGACTTTAAACCATGACCGAGTATGTTCACTGCCATTTAATAAAACTATCGTGACATTAGGCGCTTGTCTGTCCACAGAGACACAGCGTAGCACGGTTGGTAAGGGATAAAGATTTACACGTGGTCAGCCACGTCCATGACAAGTCCTGGACCCAACTCGCGCTGTAATTGTCATTCCTCAGATATATTTTAAGTCTCAAATAATATTTGATGGTGGGGACGTTAGGATCTCAGAAGCGAAAGACAGCGAGAAGGAAGGCTCGCGGCCTGCTCCTGCATAACGGTCAGATGCAGGGACTCCTGAACAAGCCTTGAAGACTACGTCAAACTTTTATGGGTGAATATTTGAATCCATAATCATCAGTTTCACGAAGATCAAGAACATACCACGAGCAAGGTCATGCTGGTCCACCTTACCATTGCTTCCTTTTGCCAAAAGCGACAGACGTTGATCCTAGGACTGCCGTTAAAATGTCTCCCCATTCGTGTTAGGCGTCCTTTTTGGTCAAACACCACTTGGTGCCACGCCACCGCCTGTCTCCTATACTCACAGGTGGCCCATCCATCACAATCTCTTATCGCTGATGTCTGCAATGCTTTTACCCTATGATCCATTCTAAACTTCTAAGATGCTTCACATAACCTGCCAAGATATTCTGAGCAGTATCTGTATAAACATAAATATATATCTTCTTTGGTTCTTTCGGTAAAGTCACGTAGAATGAGAATAAAATAATGAATTGATAAAATAAAATAACACAATGATATTCTCACGACGTTTCGGCCACAACACAAGCGGCCTTCATCAGGTGAAGGGGACGAGACTGTCTGGTAGGACAGCGCTGGAGTGAAAGAGCCACGTTCAGATCACGGCCTTTTAAGCTGTGTGAGAGGAACAAAGCGCCTTGACAAAGGAATTAGCATATAATTTAGCATTGAAATGGCTGAATGATTAGCTTGTGACTGGTCACAGAAATAGTTATGTTAAAAGTTAAAGCATACACATCCGCAGAGGCACCCCTTGACAATGGAATTAGCATAGCATTTAGCATTGAAATAGCTAAGTTAAAGCATACACATCCGCAGAGGCACCCCTTGACAATGGAATTAGCATAGAATTTAGCATTGAAATAGCTGAGTGATTAGCTTGTAACTGCTCACAGAAATAGCTACGTTAAAGTCAGACCATACACATTCACCGAGGCACTTAGTACAAATCAAACAGGAGAATTTAGCATTGAAATAACTAGGCGAATTTAGCATTGAAATAACTGAGTGATTAGCTAGTGACTGGTCACAGAAATGACTATGTTGAAGTCAAGGCCTACACATCTGAGCTATTCACAGTACTATATAGTGAACCAATAAAAACTAAAATATAAATTACCTTAATGTTTCGATTTAAAGCTTTCGTGACTGCAATGATTTTACCGAAAGAACCAAAGAAGATGTACCTTAATGGTATCAATACATTCTATATTCTCCAATCAGCTAAGCTACCAACAATAAGTCGTTATTGTTGGTAGCTTAGCTGATTGGAGAATATAGAATTTATTGATACCATTAAGGTACATCTTCTTTGGTTCTTTCGGTAAAATCATTGCAGTCACGAAAGCTTTAAATCGAAACATTAAGGTAGTTTATATTTTAGTTTTTATTGGTTCACTATATAGTACTGTGAATAGCTCAGATGTGTAGGCCTTGACTTCAACATAGTCATTTCTGTGACCAGTCACTAGCTAATCACTCAGTTATTTCAATGCTAAATTCGCCTAGTTATTTCAATGCTAAATTCTCCTGTTTGATTTGTACTAAGTGCCTCGGTGAATGTGTATGGTCTGACTTTAACGTAGCTATTTCTGTGAGCAGTTACAAGCTAATCACTCAGCTATTTCAATGCTAAATTCTATGCTAATTCCATTGTCAAGGGGTGCCTCTGCGGATGTGTATGCTTTAACTTAGCTATTTCAATGCTAAATTCTATGCTAATTCCATTGTCAAGGGGTGCCTCTGCGGATGTGTATGCTTTAACTTTTAACATAACTATTTCTGTGACCAGTCACAAGCTAATCATTCAGCCATTTCAATGCTAAATTATATGCTAATTCCTTTGTCAAGGCGCTTTGTTCCTCTCACACAGCTTAAAAGGCCGTGATCTGAACGTGGCTCTTTCACTCCAGCGCTGTCCTACCAGACAGTCTCGTCCCCTTCACCTGATGAAGGCCGCTTGTGTTGTGGCCGAAACGTCGTGAGAATATCATTGTGTTATTTTATTTTATCAATTTATTATTTTATTCTCATTCTACGTGACTTTACCGAAAGAACCAAAGAAGATTAATCATTGCAGTCACGAAAGCTTTAAATCGAAATATAAATATATATCCAGAAGCGTTGTGACCATCCATCTCTCCGCACTCAATTGCAAATCTCTATTTTTCAAAATTGTGAAATTATTCCACCAAAACCACCTTCCGAGGCACTCCCAGAAGGCTGTGTGAATGACTGGATGTGTAAAATAATTATGCAATATAGACATGTGAAGGAGGTATAGTCTGCTTGTATTGTCACATTCTCCACAACGCTAACGATTATTTTGTCAGTGCGACAACATCAAGTTTAATGTTACGGGTGCTTTAATCAGGAGCTCAATTGGGGGGGGAGAGTGGCCAGGGGCCACTCTCCCCCCCACCCCCTCCCTCCCAGTGCACCATGGGAGCACCAGCGTGGTCAGTCTCACACTCCCCCCCCCCCTCCCAGTGCACCATGGGAGCACCAGCGTGGTCAGTCTCACACTCCCCCCCCCCTCCCAGTGCACCATGGGAGCACCAGCGTGGTCAGTCTCACACTCCCCCCCCAGTGCACCATGGGAGCACCAGCGTGGTCAGTCTCACACTCCCCCCCCCCTCCCAGTGCACCATGGGAGCACCAGCGTGGTCAGTCTCACACTCCCCCCCAGTGCACCATGGGAGCACCAGCGTGGTCAGTCTCACACTCCCCCCCCCCCTCCCAGTGCACCATGGGAGCACCAGCGTGGTCAGTCTCACACTCCCCCCCAGTGCACCATGGGAGCACCAGCGTGGTCAGTCTCACAGTCCCCCCCCCCTCCCAGTGCACCTTGGGAGCACCAGCGTGGTCAGTCTCACACCCCCCCCCAGTGCACCATGGGAGCACCAGCGTGGTCAGTCTCATAGTCCCCCCAGTGCACCATGGGAGCACCAGCGTGGTCAGTCTCACACTCCCCCCAGTGCACCATGGGAGCACCAGCGTGGTCAGTCTCACAGTCCCCCAGTGCACCATGGGAGCACCAGCGTGGTCAGTCTCACACTCCCCCCCAGCTTGAGCCAGGCAGTAGAGAATGCAGCAGCAGGTATACTGTGACAGGTTGCATTGGGCCGGGAGAAAGAAACGCGTTTGAGATGTAAGTGACGGTGCGCGGCCGGAATCATGCGAATCGGTCTTCTGTAGCTGGATGACTGAAGAAGCTGGGTGAGATGCAAGTGGCCCAAGTAAAAATTCAAGAAAATAACCCAATAGCAAGATTATTAGAGTGAACCCCGACACAGGAACCCACAAGCAATAGATTAATATTTGGTTCTTTCGGTAAAGTCACGTAGATTAAAAAAGTTAATAAAATAAAAACTACGACGTTTCGATCATAACACAAGCGACCGTCTTCAGGAGGGAAAAGGGGGGAAGGTCACGGAAGGCGACTGTTTTAAAAAACGTCGTCGTAGCTTTTATTTATTTACTTTTTTTCTATCTACGTGACTTTACCGAAATAACCAAAGAATAAGAATTCCTGCAGTCACGAAAGTTTTCAGTCAAAATGTAAGAAACAGATTGGGAATTCTAAGCGCCATGTAAATGTACATACCCCGTATGGAAATAAATCAACTAGACAGTAACAAGAGGAATCTATAGCAGAAGCTCATGCGTCGACACCATGGATGTAAAAATTCTGAAGACAAACTTCACAAGCAATGTAAATGCAAATATCCTAAAACTAAATTCAAATTACTAACCTAGAAGCATAAGAAACCTCAAATAAGCCAACAACTGAACACGAAAGTAAAGAATCTCGAGGAAACATCAAACTTACTCGATCACAACAGTTGCTAGCTTCTATATGTTTGTGTATATATGTTGAACTTATTTCGCACCGTACATAACCAACTGCGCTTTTCAGAAGTTCGGGGAAAAGACAACAAACTAAACATAAAAAGCAGTTCTAAAGAAATTAGTTTCCAATTTACCTGCAACACAGACACAAAAAGCCAACGTTAGAAAACAGAAGCGTACAATACAGCAACACGATTGACTTTAGACGCACAATAAATCTAATTTCAGAATTCTCCATCATAGAGGTGTTTGGGTTAGATCGCGTAAATATATAAATGTGTCGTCAAAACCCGCCACCACCCGACACAGCCAACTAGTAAGGACTGTCACGTAAACAGAACGTGCCGATTCGTCACTAGTACAGCACAACGGTGTGTTGGAGAGCCAAGCCACAACATTTACTGAGTACGACGTTTCGCCAGTAATTACAAATAGCTTCATCAGGCGACGTACATTATGCATGTGCATTATGAGAGCACTTTGGTCTTGTCTTTCCTGTCTATTGTGTGTATTAAAATAGCCGTACCAACGGGAACCCCTATTGAAGTACGCTGCCCTTTGTAGGCATGTATTTAAATAATGTATTATTTGATGATTCGCTTCCACGCAGCACTAAGGCGGTAGCTATCCGAACGGTTAAAGTTATTTTTTTCTTTCAATTTCGATAGATTATCTAATTAGTCTTGGCCAGTAGTAGCTATTTTTGCACAAAACTTCAACATTATGAAAATCAATTGAGTTTCCTTGTTGGCACGCGTGTTCTGCTACTGCTGACAGTTGTATTTGGGAGCATTTAATATTTCTCTGATGTTCTTTTAGTCTCATGCTGATCATTCGTCCTGTTTGCCCAAAAATAACATTTACCACACGTGCAGTTAATCCTGTACACACCTTCTGTTGATACCTTCGGTAATACATATTTTGTACCAGATATTAATTTTTGTATTTTATGTACCGTTCCAAATCTGGCTAGTTTATCAGTTACTCCCGCAATGTACGGTATT